AAGAAGTCACAAAATATAAATAATATGGATAAAAAAGAGGCCATTACTACAGATCCTATAGAGTTTTAAAATATAATATTAAATTATAGACAACTTCGTTAATAGACCTTAAATTTTATTGGAAATGGGCAAATTTCTAAAAAAAATTGTGCTATAGAAATTGAAACAAGAACAGCAAATCTGAACTGTCCTTAGTTTATTAAAAATGTAAAATATAATAAAAAACTTGTACCCAAAAAGCAATTCAGCTCCAGAAGTCTTCATTAATTAATTACCCAGATAATTAAGGAAAGTTAACAATCTTAATCTTCACCAGAAAGAAAGAAAAAAAAAGAGAGAGAAAGCATTTCTAACTTGTTTTAAGAGATTAGCATAATCTTATGAACAAAACCTAACAAGCACATTAAAAGAAAAATTACACACCAAATTCTTTCATGAACATATATGTAAAAATAGAAAACAAAATATTAAAAAACGAAATACTATAAAAAGAAAAAAGCTCTTAATAAGCCTGTATCTGTTAAATTAATATCATCAATTAAAAACTTTTGACCTAGGAAGTCTTGAGTTCCAGATGGATCTACTAGTGAAGTCTATCAATATTTTTGGGTTAAATAAATCCACTCTTCACAAAAATTCTTTTCAGAATGAATATTTTCTAACTTGTTATATAAGGACAGAACTATCCTGATAACAAAGCCTGATGAATTACCCAGAAAGAGTACCAAAAGTAAAAGAAGAAATATTGAGGAAACATTATGTTAACGTAAATGATTGTCTAACCACTAAGCTGTACACCTGAAACCAATACAAAATAAAATTAAAGATAAAAAATAAAGGAGTGACATTAAGATAACAAGAAAGAAAATTTAGAAATGTCAATATGTAATCCTTAGGAATTCAAGGTAGAATAAAATATAGGAGGAAAAAATATTATAATGTTAAAAGCTTAAAATTTCCCTCAAATTTTATCAATTAAAGATATTAATAAATATTGGAATCTTCAAATTAATTGGTATGAGTTTTGATTAATAAAAGCAATTTCATGGCTAGACTAAAAAATTGAAAAATGCTAAAATAATCTAAGGTAATCTATTAAAAATGTGACTGAAATGAAGGCATTGCTACTCACAGACCTTACTAATAGAATTCCTCATATATTTTAAGGAAATAGAACACAAAATAATGAAGTAGGCAGAAGAATTAAATTTGTGGAAACAAATTCATTACTATGTGAGGAAGTCTGAATAAGTACTGCTATACAAACTGACAATCATAATACTGTTTAATTTGTTGACTGTCGATAAGTTAGAATTAAAATAGTGGAACAAAAATAACATAAGAGGTTTTAGAAACTTCACTGTTGCAGGTAAAGTTATTGATTATATTTCACTAATTAAGTATGAATGTTAAAATTAAAGGGGAATCACAAAGAGAAGCACGACAAAAGGAAGGAATGAAGGAAAAAGAGAAGACAGCGGGTATCTTTCCAACTGGTAGAGATCGGGTAAAGAAAGTAAAGATAAAATTAATGCAAAAGAGGACAAGAAGGAAGGAACAAAGAAAAGAAAAACGTGTGAGTAGTGTATAAGAGGAAAGCATGAAATAATGTGATAAAAACAAAATATATCTATGTACTATAAAATAAATGTGAGTAGATTAAGATAGGCTATTAACAGAAAATGTCAGATTTGAGTTTTTTTTAATTAAGGTATATCTTTTTAAAAACATATACCAAAAGGTAAGAACTCAGGCATCTTTAAAAATAGATGGGAAATGAGATCTCTGTAAACTATTAGCTCAAAACAGGGCAATACAGCCTATTATTTTCAGATTAAATAGGGACAGATGTATTGATTTTACTGCTTATTCTATTGCTCAAGAACAATTAATCGCTGTTCATTGTCAACAGAATAAATTCCAGACTTTTCAGCATAAGTTTTAAGGTTCTTCACCTCTGGCTATGCAACCTTCCTTTGGACAGCTAAAGTCCATCTTTGATCTGTCAGCTGTTATCACAAATCTGATTATGTAGTAGACACTCAAATATTTAATTCAGATGAAAGGAAGAAAGAAAAGAAGAAAGAAAGAAAAAAAGAAAGAAAGAAAGGGAAAAAAACAAAACAAAACTACCCATGCAATCATTGTAACATTTACGTTAATAACATCCTCTTACTTTTCTCATAGGTATGTTTTTCTTTCAAAAGAATGGGAGGAGAAACATGTTTTATTGTCTATTTAATATATGGACAACTGAACAAAATGTGTTTCCCTCTTACCTCTTTTTATCCCTTTCCCCCATAGTTTCTGTAGATATTAACAGCAAAAGATATTTTCCCCCAGAGGATCATTTATAAACTATTTCCTCCCATTTATTATACTATCCTACCTTTCTCTCCTTTTCCCTAGTTTTCTCCCCTCTTCCTTCTCTCTATTCTTTCATCCCCTTTCTATTTTTTTCTCCTTTCTTTTCTTTGCAAATTATTCTATATTATACAAAGATTGGGAAAACAAGTGAGGATAAGTATTCAAGAATGGGGACTTTGAGAATGGGAATCTTTCCTGTTTAAATTCATGACTTGATAATGACAAACAGAATGCTTATTTTATGGTGACGAGTGTAAGCTGCCTCCCATTGGCCCAGATGAATGGTTCTTACACAACAAGGCACATAGGATTCTCCTGGGTGGGGGAGGGATATTTTATGAATCCATACTATTTCCAAAACCAGCTCCATATTCACCTCATGCAGTATACAGTATACGAGGGGTGGTTACAGTGACATGTTATGTGTGTGGGTATATGTGTGTAATTTGAAAAAGCTTTGTACACTATTCTTATGGAATCCCTTTTCCACCACCTTCTCTCCTAGAAGAGAACCCCTGATATAAATGTATCGTTGTCATACTATAATACAAGACAAATACCCTCAAAGCCATTAATATTGGTAATCTCATTTGTACATGATATTATATGAGCTATAATTTTTAAAGGGAACAGGTGCATTTTCTGTAGAATATATTTTCCTATTGGGCAGGGATACATAAACCATTGACTCCCATCCTTCATCTGAATCAGCACCAATAGGAGCCTTTAAACAATTAGATGCTAAAGTCTGATCTCCGGAAACACGAGTTCAGGTGGTCAGGTCTTGGTTCAGGCATTGGCATTTTTAAAAAGTGTCTTGGGTAATTATAATATGCAATCTGTCTTGAGAAGCATTTCATAAGCTGCTCATAATTAAATACAAGAACCAAAGCTGTGTCGTTTTTGTTTGTATTTTATGAAGTCTACAGATCTAAACTCACTTTGGATTTTTGGCAAGTTCATTGTAGAAATAAATAGCTACTATATGGACTTTTTATAATGGCAATAGATTATTAGGGGTTAAGTGCACAAATCCAAATTGTGACAAATAAGAAATTTGGTAAACAGAAAAGAAAGAAGATATCCTGAGTGAAAAATATTGAGAGCCCAAGGAAGAGTAGTAAAGTAGAACAAGAATACATAGGAAAGAATAACATAAAAAAGAGAAAACAAAACAAAATAGTAGGTAGAGAGGGAAGGAGAAAGGATGCACCACTTAAAATGTTAGTCAATTTTTATTAATTTTTATAACTTTCCACTAACCAATACCATATCTAGGCTTTTGGCCTATATTAAAACTAGATATCCAGTACACTCTTCTTAATTAATTTCCATTCCATGAAAAAAATTAAAGATGAATTATTATATTTCAGGTGTATTCTTTACATTAATTTTTTCTGATCGATCATTTTTACATGATAGAAATTTACCCTTTAATGTCATTTCAATGATAGGAACAAAGACGGAACAATTAAATACAAAAACAAAAGCAAAACCTTTATTCTTTTGGCTTGATTGTAATGTGGTTTACCGTTCTTTATGGTAATAGCATTTTCCTGCATGCATTTCACCAACACACTACAAGTCAATAGCTTCAATATAAAAAAATCTACATTTAATGTTGCTTGTGAAAGAAACACAAAATGTTTTTGCTAGAACTGGCAATATAATTTCACTACCTGATTCTGTGTGTGTGGGGGGGGAAAGCTTAGCTCTCATATTATACCTGATACAGTTATAATGCCATGTGGGCCAATGAGAAGAAGATCTATCTGTATAAACAAACACTGGAAAAGACTGATGATTTTTTCAATAGAAAGACCAGGTGGAAACATCTGATCAAGCAATGCCATGCGTATCAACTAATCATTCCTTAAGCCTTTCGATGATAAGGCATTCCTTGGAAAGCAAATGAATGTTGGACTTAGTCTGATATTTGTCTCACATTGAATCGTGTGCAAAGTTTACAGTACTAATAAAAAAGCAGAAATCTACACTGCATCTTAGTCTTGGTTTCTTATTTTGTGAAGTGCCTTAATTTAAAAGTGCTAGGAACAGAAACTAACAATAGTGACTGTGACATCAACCTGAAGATACTCTTAATTTCTCATTTTATGTACAAAAGGCCGAAAATAAAATCAAATGGATTTTTTTACAGTATTTATATTTTCTTAGAAAACTCTAACCATATATTTTCAGCAGATTTAAGCGGCTTGCAACGTGTTTGCTCAGTTGGGCTTTGTAACCATAGTGTGTTCAATGGAGACTGGAAGAAGAAAAAGCAAGAAGCTCTTCTTTGCTGCTGCCTATTGCTTCATGACGTAAAGAATGAGGTCTTGGTAGAACAACTGGTTTCACTTTACCACTGGCGTATGGCTTCCCATATTAGACTTCTGAACAGTGGAAGGAGGAAGATACAGCAGCGTAGGCGAGATAAACATGCAGTAGTGACAGCTTCAAACTATACTGGAACCAATTACATCATATTACCTGTTGAAAGCTGGCAAACATATTACCTGTTGAAAGCTGGCAAACTATACTTACTGTGGTACATATTTGATGCAATAAATACTGTGCTTAAGTCATCATTTTTGTTTGCTCAAACATGCACCACTGGGTAAAATTACTATTTACAAAGCAGACTTTTATTTTATTTTTTTAAATTGACATATACACTGTCAACCTTACCAAGAGCAGAAAATGGCTAAACAATACTGCAGGAAAAAAGCAGAATCAACTTTATAAAGTGGTGGTGGGGGATGCTTTTTGGTCAGTTCAGGTTCTTAGAAAGGACTGATAGAATAGTTTTATTTTATGCCAAAGGGCACTTATCAAAAATGTTATAGTCATGCTGCCAGAATTCTGAATGACTATGTAATGGTGTGTGTATATACATCTATATGTATATACACGCACATATACATATATACATATATACATGTACATATAATGAATTATGTAAAAATAAAAGAGTTCTTTAATGCTCGTGAATTTTATGGAACATTTACAGGCACATTAAATTTTTTTCTGGATGAGACACCTTAAAAACATGAATAGCTATTTAAGCACCTCAAAAATCTAAAAAGCATCCTGAAACAAGAAGTAAACTCTTTCCTTTTGTGATATGATTTTTTTTTCACGTGTGAATGAGAAGTGCAGCATGCCTTCATTTAAAATATATCATTATACAGTAGAGAAATGTAAAGATTTCCTACCTTTAATCCCTCTCCCCAAACATAAACCCATTTACAAAAATAGTCACATATAATAGTAAACAACCTGTGAATTAAAACAAACAAACAAACAAACAAAAAAGCAATAAATTCACAGCGTACATTTTGTAGAAATATGGCAGGTGCGGCAGTGAAACATAAACAGTGGTGACCATTACTGTTATCAAGTGTCACGTGTTGAATTTACATAAAAATTTAACCTCCCTCCCCCCTTTAAATGGGTTCCTTTAGTCTGAGTAGCCATTACATCTCTGCTCTTCAGCAGTGTCAGCTGGTTGTGAAAACAGAAACCTCCTGTCAATGCTGATTTTCCGGTTTGTTGAGTCCCAGTTGGCTGACCAGAGGTCCTTGTCTTGTTAGAGGCACTGACCTTAAGTATACATTTGTAAAAACAGTCAGTTTGGCATAGACCTCCTGTGGGAGTCTTGTTGACACTGATACACCACCATCACAGGCTGTAAACAATTGATCACAAAAAGAAATATTGTTTTTTTTTTTGTTTTTTTTTTTTTACTTTTTACTTTCCCTGATATCTTTCCCTTTGTCTTCCTTTTCTGATTTGTCTTTTTCAAATTTTTCTTTCTCCGGTTTGGTCACACTATCATAGGAAGGTGGAGATGTGGTAGAAGGTGTCACATCGGTTTTCTCTGGAGTTGAATTCTCATTCAGTTTATCAATAAGGATATCTTCCTTGATATCTTCTTTGATAGGTGTTCCATGACCTTCTTTGTCTTTCTTATATATAGCTGAAACCTTCTTCACTTTTTGCTTCAAGAGGTAGCATCGATAAGCCCTCTGGATAATGGTGGCAGACACCTCCTCTTGTTTGCGTTTCAAAGTGGTGGTGATGGGTTCATAGGAGACTTTGGATGGGTTCGAGGCCATGAACCGCTCTTCCATCTGTACTCGAAGGGCATCCATCTCTCCGCTCTCACCCAAAACACGCTTTGTAAAGGCAAATAAAATGTCGAGGCAGTGGATCCGGTCCCCACTGACCATGGGCAGGTCCATGGCGATGAGCTGGACTTTGTTTGGCTTTGCTACCAGAAGGGGAGGATCCAGGGCAGCTGCAAAGTCAGAGAGCTTGGAGAACTCTATAAACTGGGTGGCATCGGGGTCAAACTTCTCCCAGACCTCATAGAACATCTCAAAGTCATCCTCACTCAGGGGCTCTGCGCTTTCCTCAGTGGCGACACTGAAGTTCTCCAGGATGACAGCGATGTACATGTTCACCACCACCAGAAAGGATATGATGATGTAGCTGACGAAAAAGAAAATCCCCACAGATGGGTTCCCACAGTCTCCCTTCACTGAGCTTCCAGGGTGATCTTTTTCAGGGTCACAGTCTGGAGGCCCGCTGTTGAGAATAGGTGCCAGCAGCCCGTCCCAGCCAGCAGAGGTGGTGATCTGGAACAGGCAGATCATGCTGTTGCCAAAGGTTTCGAAGTTGAACATGTCATCGATTCCAACTTCCCTCTTGACATAGGCAAAGTTGGACATCCCGAAGATGGCGTAGATGAACATGACCAGGAAGAGCAGGAGGCCGATGTTAAACAGCGCGGGGAGGGACATCATCAGAGCAAAGAGCAGCGTGCGGATCCCCTTGGCCCCTTTGATCAGACGTAGGATGCGGCCAATCCTGGCGAGACGGATCACTCGGAACAGGGTAGGGGACACAAAATATTTCTCTATCAGCTCAGCCAGAAACATGCCTGTGGAAAACCAAGAGACAACAACAAGTATAGGGTTATATTTAACAGCAGCAAATAAAATTTTACATTGCTAAGATAAACGTTAACTAGTTTTAAAAAATATAAAGGTGAGAATTAGGTATTTACTAGTACCTACATCATCACAGACAAACCATCTGCAATATTTGTTCAGCAAAATAAAGCTGGTATGTTTGGTGTTACAACATGAACACCTTTCTACTAACTAAAGGTATTCGTAGCCATTTTCCCTAGTTTAAGAACCATCTATCAAAAGAAATACCCAACCACTCATGGTCTAAATATGCCACAAAGAATAGGGCAGCTAAGCATAGAAATGGATTTATAGTTCTAAAATGCTAGTTCTGGTATTTGCATAAGAAATAATGGACAAAGCATGTGATTTTTGGATCATGAATATGAGAGTCTTTAGTCTTTTGAGATGGCTGTGACTCGTTTTATTTGGGAGGTGTAAGATGGCATACAGGGGAGAATCCCAGCTTTGGAGAGAGACATTTGTGGGACTGAATCCTGGCCCTCAATTTTATGTATTACTAAATGGTTATAATCCCACATGTTATTGTTTTGTGTTATTGTTGTTAAACTTAAAATTTACTGAATCTTTTCTTTGTGCTAAGTGTATTTACTTATATACTCTCATTTAACCACCACAACACTTCACAGTAACTTGACTATATTTTTTCTAATAGTTTATTTTTATAAATTTAATTGAAACCACACAAAAAATCCCTAACCCAGGACACAGATCTTAAATAAAGAGGAAACAGATGAAAGAAGTATGAAATAACACTAAACAAAAACAACAGAAAGAAACATAAGGGAAAAGGACCAATGGAGACACAGAGTTACCAGAAAACAAAAGATAAATGGCTATAGGAAATCCTCATACATAAACAATTACCCTTAATGTAAATGGTCTGAATTCACTAGTAAAGAGGCACAGAGTAGTAGAGTGGATTAAAAATAAACAAACAATATATTTTATTGATTTTTTCCCTCTCTGTAAAAAATCAATAAAACATATATATATATATATATATATATATATATATATATATATATATATATATATATATTTAAAACTTCCAAAAAATAAAAGTCCAGGATGAGATTGCTTCACCAGTGAATTCTACCAAAGGTTCAAAGATTTAAAATCTATCCATCTTAAACTCTTCCAAAATATTGAACAGGCAATACTTCCTAACATATTTTTAGAAGGCCAACCATATGCTGCCTACAAGGGACACATCTAAACTGCAAAGACACATGCTCTGGTTTCTCTTCAGACCACATAAATCTTTCACCTTTTTAAACTGCAAAGACAAAAATAGATTCAAAATAAAAGGGTGAAAAATGATTCTCCAAGCAAACAGCATCCACAGAAAAGCAGATATAACCATATTTATATCTGACAAAATAAATTTAAAGGTAACAAAGATAACCAGAGACAAAGATGTATAATTTATAATGATAAAGGGGATACTACGTCAAGAAAACATAACACTTCTTAATATATATGCACTCAATCAGGGAGTACCGAAATATATATTGAAACTACTCATGGAACTAAAGGGAGAAACAGGTCAAAACACAATCAGAGTTGGGGACTTTACTACTTCACTGACAGCTCTAGATGTATCAACCAAACAGAAAATCAATAAATATTAGGACATCAGATTATATATTCTTTAGTGCACATGGAACATTCTCAAGGATAGACCATATGTTGAGTCACAAAACTAGCATAACAAATTCAAGAATATTGAAATTATACCATACATATTCTCAGATCATAATGCCTTGGAATTAGAAATCAACTGCAAAAAAAGGAAGTAAAGAAGTCCACAAATATGTGGAGATTAAAGAACATACTACTAAAAAAATGACTGGTTGTCAAAGAGGAAATAAAAGATGAGGTGAAAAGATAGAGATAAATAAAATTGACAATACAACATATCAAAATGTCTGAGATGCAGGGAAAGCAGTAATAAGAGGGAAGTTGGCAGAATTGTGTCATTGCAGGCCTAACTCAAGAAACAAGAAAAATCCCAAGTAAACAACTAAGATCATATCTTAAAGAATTAGAAAAAGAACAAAAGTAACCCAAAATCAGAAGAAAGAAAATAATAAAAATTAGAGCAGAATTGAATTAAATAGAGAACAAAAAGACTACATAAAAAATTAATAGCCCTATCTGGTTTGGCTCAGTGAATAGTGCCTGTGGACTGAAAGGTCCCAGGTTAAATTCTGGTCAAAGTCATGTACTTCGGTGGCATGTGGGAGACAACCAATCGATGTGTCTCTCACATCGGTTTTTCTCTCTGTCTCTTCCTCTCTCTTCCACTCTCTCTAAAAATCAATGGGAAAAATATACACAGGTGAGGATTTAAAACAATTAATAAAAAGAGAGTTGGCTGTTTATAAAGATTAAGAAAATTGACAAACCCCTGACTAGACTCACTAAGGGAAAAAGGGAAAAGATCCATATAAACAAAATCAGAAATGAGAGAAGTCATCACAGACATCACAGATATACAAAGAACCATACTAGAATATTATGAAAGACTGCATACCATCAAAATCAATAATCTAGACTAAATGGATAAGTTCCTAGAAATATGTAACTTTCCTAGACTAAATCATGAGGATTTGGAAAATCTAAATGGACTAATTAGCAGTGAGAAAATTGAAATAACTATCAAAATTCTCCCAAAGTCCAAATGGGTTTGGCTCAGTGGATAGAGCGTCAACCTGTGGACTGAAGGATTCTAGGTTTGATTCTGGTGAAGGGCATGTACATTGATTGCAGGCACAACCCCAGTAGGAGGTAAGCAGGAGGCAGCTGATTGATGTTTCTCTCATTGATGTTTCTAACTCTCTATCTCTCTCCCTTCCTCTCTGTAAAAAATAAATAAAAAATAAATATTTTTAAAAACTCCCCAAAAAAGAAAAGTCCAGGATGAGATTGATTCACCAGTGAAGTCTACCAAAGTTTCAAAGAAGATTTAAAACCTATCCATCTCAAACTCTTCCAAAAAATTGAAGAGGCAATACTTCCTAACATAGTTTTAGAAGGCCAATAAACCTTGATACCAAACTCTGGTAAAGATAACACACACAAAAAGAAAATTACAGACCAATATCTCTGATGAATACAGATGCAAAAATCTTTTTTAAAATATTAGCAAATAAAATACAACAGTACATCAAAAAATAGTACATCACAATCAAGTAGGGTTCATTCCAGGGGCACAAGAATGGTTCAACAGATGCAAATCAATCAATGTAATACACCATATTAAAAACAACAACAACAACAACAAAGGATAGAAATCATATGATCTTATCAATAGACACAGAAAGAACATTTGATAAGGCATAACATCCATTTATGATCAAAACACTCAATAAAATAGAAGTAGATGTAAAGTATCTGAACATAATAAAGGTCATATGTGATAATCCTTCAGCTAATATCAGTGTTTTAGATCACAACTTTTCACTGATGGCTTTTTTTTTTTAATATATTTTATAGAGAGCTAGAAACGTCGATGAGAGAGAAACATCGATCAGCTGCCTCTTGCACACCCCTCACCGGGGATGTGCCCGCAACCAATGTACATGCCCTTGACCAGAATTGAACCTAGGACCCTTCAGTCAGCAGACCGACGCTCTACCACTGAGCCAAACCAGTTTCGGCAACTAATAGCTTTCTTAATTGAATAAAAGTACCTCTTCTTACCTACAATGGATAGAATGACCACCACAAAATCAAAGATATTCCATCCAATGGTGAAATAGTAGTAACGGAGAGAGATTAGTTTCAGCACACATTCTCCAGTGAACAGGACGATAAACACCAGATTAATCCAGTACAGAATGTTTGTCATTTCTTGACTCTGGTCATCAGTTTCCACCATCATGGTGACCATGTTCAGGCAGATGAGGATCATGATGCTGATATCAAAGACTTGTTTGGTGACAAAATCAAAAACCATTCCTTGGAATTTGTTCTGGAACAAAGAATATGTAAAAGTTCATTTAGGAACTGGGGCAAAATAAATTTCAACTTACCTGATTTTAACACAGCAATATGAAAATGCAGCATTTTCATAAAAACACACCATGCTTGTTTTATATTAGGAAGAATTTGATATGTAAGATGTTAAAATAAGAAAAACTGTGTGAAGATTTTATGAGGTAACTCTTCTGTAATAAAATTATCTTTAAAAATTATAGTTCATAATTCAGATATTCCACCTTTGCCCATTTTATTTTGGACCTTTATTTCCAAGAACTAACTGGCCTTATGTCTTATTTATGAAATTAGGTCCTCATCTTGTAAACCAATTCTGCTAACTGGACCACGTTTTGTTCTTTTTTGCCTCTATCTGTTTTTTTTTTTTTTCCTGAACCAAGCACTCTAAGGCATTGGCAATGACACAATTCTGCCAAGCTGTCCTCTACCTTCTCAATGACTGGTGTTCGGCTACCTATACTAGTATACTTCATATAATAGTTTCCCAGTTCCATACATTCACAGGTCTGGATTCTCTCTATTGGTGTTCTGACCTCACCACCTGGTTGTCACATTTTATGGTTTTCTCTGAATACATATCTGGCCTGCTGGATTGGACTTAATAAATGCATCGAATTCCTGTTCCAAGGTCTTCCTTCTTCTTGGTTGCTGCAATTTCCTTTCCCAGGTCTGGTTAAGTTCCTTTTATTTCTACCTTTCTGATATTTTCTATCATTGTCCTATAATATCATTTTATCTTGTTTATCTGTCTCCTCTATCTAAAACGGAATTGTCTGGTGAATTCTAACTCAGTTTTAAGTTTTAAGCACTCTGCTCTGAGAAAACTTTGTGCTCACATTTGTCATAATATGGATGACATTATATTGTCAATGATTTGCTCTTAGTTAACTTAAAGTTTCTCTTCCACTTGTTTGGAGCCTTGGTCAGGACAGAACACTGTCATTTTTCTCTGATATAGCACCTGGAGTGCAGTGGTTTCAGTTGTGCTTCAAAGCAGAAACTTGGTCTTTATTTTCATGTTATCGTGATCAATAAAAAGCATCTCAGAGTCCCTGCCCATATAGTTTCCTAATGGGTCACCTCTACATAAACCTTCAATTCTCAGTCACTGATTGATGTCTCCAATTTAAATTGCAGGATGTAGAATATGCTGGAGGAAGGGGTATAACCCTGAGGGTCTTGTTCACCAGAGATTTATGTTGTATCACTTCATCTTAGCCCTTGATAACAATAAAAAAATTATTTGTTCCTCAGCTGCTCCCAGGATAGTTCTCGCTTTCTCAGAAATTTCCCCGCTCTCTGCACTCCAGCCCCACTGGCCTTCCTTCCTCAGGGCCTTCACATATGCATTCTCCTTTTCCTGGAGGACTTTTCTCTTTCCACTTTGCCTATTGATACCTTCTCATTTTTCTTCAATCCTCAATTAATGCATCGCTTCAGCGAAGCTTTCCCTAACTTTCTTATTAATGAGCTCCCTCTTCCTTAATCTGTTCTCACAGCCAAGTGGTGTATGTATTCTTTCATGGATATTTTTATTAGTGTGACTTTTTTTAATTACAATTTGCCGCACTAAATAGACTCTGTGTTGTTAAACACTAAGTTTCAAATGCTTGATATAGCATATTATCTTTTTATAAAATATTTTAACTTGATTTTTAGAGAGAGAGTAAGGAAGAGGGAAAGAGAGATAAACATTGATCTGGAGCCAAGCCCCTTACCAGGTGTTGAGCCACAACGTGGGCATGTGCCCTGACTGGAAATTCATCAATTCAGTGCATAGGACAATGTTCAATGTTCAACTAACTGAGCCCTACCGGCCAGGGCACATAGTACATTCTTAATGAATGACTGAATTAGATGGATTATACTACATCATTTCCTAATTTGCCAAACTGTCAACAATAATATTATAGCTAAATGCCCTGATCTTTTCCCATATATCTCTACACCTATCCATGTGAATCTATGTCATTTGATATAGTTAAACAGCCTGACTTTTTAAAAATATTTTTCTCAATCATACCTTTCTCTATATACTGCCTTACTAATCAATATCTTCCTTTTTTGATTTACCTCTTCCACTAATAGGGAAGTGCTCAAGGCTTCATGCTCAGCACTTTTTTTTTTGTCTATTTTAATTATCTTTCAAAAATGAATCTATGCTTCAGAGCTTAATTGAATTCTGTCTGACAAGTCTAAAATCCTTACCTCAGTCTGATGTCCCATAAGAACTACATCTGCATTTCTAAATGCATTTATAATACATTCCTTTCATTGATTATTGGAACCAATTATTTCACAAAAATCAACTGTTTTAAGTTTTTCATTGTCTACATATCTTCCTTCTTTTCCTAGACTTTATAGCTGCCTCATCCCATTGAGTTTCCTTATTAGCTCATACTGTATCTCTCATGTTTCAGCCCTATTTGACATGACCCCATATTATGGACTCATCTGTTATTTTATCTCTAACATCTTCTTAAAGCAGTCTCTAAAATATTTTTTATTAATATATTTTGTTGATTTTTTACAGAGAGGAAGGGAGAGGGATAGAGAGTTAGAAACATCGATCAGCTGCCTCCTGCAAACTCCCTACTGGGTATATGCCCGCAATCAAGGTACATGCCCTTGACCAGAATCAAAACCGAAACCCTTGAGTCCACAGGCTGACTCTCTATCCACTGAGCCAAACAGGTCAGGGCTAAAATCTTCCCCCCACACACACACATTAGCATGCTGTTCTTTTAACTATATTGCATTTGTATTGCTTAATTAAGATCAATTTCATCAGACTCATAGTGGTTATCTTCGTTCATTTAACCCCAAATACCCCGTATTTACTACCCACTAAAACAAATGTCACTATTATCAATGGAAATATTTATTTTCATGGCTTGGACTATATATTTTCTCATACACTGAATGTACTCTGTTTTTCTTTTCATCCATTCAAACTGTATTATTTCTCAAAAACTAGGCTCAAACTGAACATTCCTTCTGTTTTATTAAATAACACTATCTATTTTTTCTGATCTTTTGGCCAACTTACAAACTGAACATGGGCATAGCTAGTTTTATATTGTTATTAATTGAATCAAAGAATATGGATTTCTGGAGAACACTGGATTGCCTTGCACTATATATACCTCAGGGGAGGAGTTCTGAAAAAATTCCAGAATTTTCCTGACAACAATTTCCAACAACAATCAAACAGAACCAGCAACAAATGGCAAATATATAATTGGAATAGCCATAACGGGTCATAAAATGAATCATGTTATCTGATTGAGGGGCAAGATGCTAGGAAAGAATATGAAATTAAAAAACAACCACACTGTTACTTGTTTCATTAATGATTTCATCCAGTCTAAAGAGTTGGGTAGAAAATGGAACATATCTGAGATGTACCAATTATCCCAATCTGCTTCCACTATACACTGAGCGTATACAATATTTCAACACTATATATATATATATATATATATATGTGTGTGTGTGTGTGTGTGTGTGTGTGTGTGTGTGTATATATATATATATATATATATATATATATATATATGGATATATCTTCCTCTCTATACTATTAGAAGCTCCTCAATGATATAACTGACATTTTACTTATATATATTTTACATGTCTATAAAATATATTTATACATATTGCATATATAAAATACATACACTAAGGCTATTTGGTCTAGCTAGTCACATTGCTAAGGTAAAACTTTTCTTTGAAAATTAAAAAAATACTAGTATCTAACAATTTGAGCTGTGAAATTGAGAGATAACATAGCTTTTACTGATGATGTAAGTGTTATTCTTACAGCAGGCCGTGGTATGGGTTTTTGTGGCTTCTTTGAACCCAGTTTTTTCATTGCATTATAGTATTTCTTCTGTTCTTCTGTCATAAAAATATCTTGACCTCCAAAGTAAGGAAATGAAAACAAAACTTGTTTAAAATCATGTTCTTTGCAAGCTATATAATCTACCTTAGTAGCTGTGTGAAAATTGGCTCCATATTCTATTCTAATGTTGCTCATTAATATCTATATTTATAAAGATGCATATAGTCAATATATAAGTTATGCCATATTGGTCAGTCAGATTTCTATAATAGAAATACAATACATGTTTTGTAAGCCATCTTATAGCTAAATAAGTCTCTCAAAATAGCTTATGGATTTTACATTTTTTCTTTTTGGTGGCTACATTTTGGAGCCAAAAGAAAATAATATGACATGTTCATTTCACATATTAGAGCAAAGATAAAGTTTTAGTATACTTATCTTCTTTTTCTGTTGGTTGAAATTATCTATGATGACACCAATAAAAAGATTCAGAGTAAAGAATGAACCAAAAATAATAAAGATGACAAAATAAAGGTACATGTAGAGATTGTCTTCATACTTGGGTTGTAATTCTACCTACAAAATATAAAGAATGACAGCTATTAGACCTAATACTTGTTTCATAAAAAGGACATTATGTTAGTTTTCAATTCTCAAAGCATGTCTCAATATCTGAGAATAAAATTAATTTCACCAATAACTACTTAGATCATGAATGTATTTTATAAGCAAATACCCCAATAGAACATGCAAAGTGAGGATTTCCTCCTCCAAAAGAATAAATGTTATGTTAAAACCTTTAAAATTTATTCTGACTCAGTTTCCTCACCTGTAAAATGGAAATAATAAAGCCTAAATCTCATATGGGAGTCGGAATGTTAAATATAGTAGTCATATATGAAGAGTATTTAAAACAGTTCTTATTGAATCTATAACAATAAAAGAGTAATATGCTAATTAGACCAGACGTCTTTCTGACATCATTTTGGATGTTCTTTATGATGAAGCCAGGGCTGGAGAAAAGCCAGCCGGAGTCCCAGGTGCCAGAGGGAATCTGGTGCCAGCAGTCGGGGGGAGGAAGACCTACTCTTGCATGAATTTTTATGCATTGGGCCTCTAGTAATAATATAAAGCTAAAAATAAAGGTATGATTTCTCTTACACATTTCTTATGATAGGTATATGCGGATATAGGTATATCAGATGGATCTCATTCTGAATATGAGTCTATTGATTCATCTTATTAAGTAGGCCTTAGGCACAGATTCTGCATGATGAATTCTCTTGTACGGCACACTTTCGATCAAAAAAAGGTGTGATAGTTGGTTTGTGCTTTGGCTGTAACCTATAGTTTAGGTCTCACCAACTAAGTTAACCAGTCACAGGAGATAATGGATGCAGGTAATGGCCTAACAGTGTTTTTCAACCTTTTTTGGGCAAAGGCACACTTGTTTCATGAAAAAAATCACGAGGCACACCACCATTAGAAAATGTTAAAAAATTTAACTCTGTGCCTATATTGACTATATATAAAGTAATTCTCTTGAATAGGAATCAAATAAACACAAAGAAAGTATTTTATAATTACTTTATTATGAAATATTAAGTAAACAAAATAGTGAAAAATTATAAAATTCTTGTCTTGTCTGCACCTACGGCACACCAGGCAACATCTCTAGTGTGCCGCGGAACAGCGGTTGAAAAACGCTGGCCTAACATGTCATGAAATCACTTTAGAGGGTAATGGCCAACATTATTTTTTTTTCCTCCTAATGAAATAGAATAAAATAGGAAATTTCATAAATATTACAAAATACCTATATTTTGATAATACTTTTGTTTCATTTGTGTGTGTGTGTGTGTGTGTGTGTGTAGTAGAAAGTAATATAAAATGGCACTTTTAAATGTTTTTTTCATTAAATACAATAAATACACAAATGTGCATAGCATACAAGTGTAAGATGTAATAAATGATTATACAGTGAATTTCACAATTCAGGACATTGTCAGGACTTCAGAAACCCTTGGCATATCCTTCTCAAACGTAAATTTGACCATCTCTGCTAGAGATAATCTTTATCTTGACTTTTATGGTAATTTTTTTCTTGCTTTTTCTTGCTTCAAAGAACCTATTCTTGAACAATAAGATTAATTGTGTCTACATTCTGCATGGCAGACACATTTGTTATAGTTCTGTTATATTTTGAAGATTCATCCACATTGTTGTGCATATTATATTCATATATAATTTTATCAAAAAATAATATTAAATTATTTGTCCATTTCTACTACTTTTGAGCTGTTTAAAGTTTTTGATAATGCAAAAAAATGTTATGTTTATCCTTGCACACAGATCTCCTATGTATGTACACTAGTTTCTGTAGAATATAGTTAAAAATGGAATTGCAAGATTAAGAATATCTTAACTTTATTGAATAACTAGAGGCTAGGTGCATGAAATTTGTGTACGGGGTGTGTGTGTCCCTCAGCCCAGCCTGCACCCTCTCCAATCTGGGTCAGCCCTCTCACAATCAAGGACTGCTAACTCCCTACTGCTCACCTGCCTGCCTTCCTGATTGCTCCTAACTGCTTCTGCCTACTAGCCTGATCACCCTAACCACTCCCCTGCCAGCCTGATTGCCCCTAACTGCCCTCCTCTGCAGGCCTGGGTCTCCCCCATCTGCCCTTTCCTGCACGCCCAGTCACCCCGAACTTCCCTCCTCTGCTGGTCTGGTTACCCCTAACTACCCTCCCCTGCAGGCTTGATCATTCCCAACTGCCCCACTTTGCAGGCTGGGTCTTCCAACTTTCCTCTCCTGCTGACCAACTTGTGGCATCCATATTATGTCCACATGGGGGCAGCCATCTTTCACCACATGGGGGCAACCATCTTATGTGTTGGAGTAACAGTCAATTTGCATATTACTCTTTTATTAGATAGTATAGAGGCCTGGTGCATGGGTGAGGGCTGACTGGTTTGCCCTAAAGAGTGTCCCCAGATCAGGGTGGAGGTTCCCTTGGGGCATAGGGCAGCCTGGGTGAAGGGCCTGTGGTGATTTGTAGGCCCGCCATGCTCCCCGCCATGCTCCCCGGCAATCCAAGGGGAGGCTCTGGTATCTGGGATATATTTAACTTCTATAATTGAAACTTTGTAGCCTTGAGCAGAGGCCAGGGCCAAACAGAATGGGCAGGAAGCTTGGCTTCTTCCATTGCCAGGGAAACCCACACTACCTGCTCCCTCTGTGGCTGCAGCCAACATGGTTGGGTTCATTTGCATACTCATTCCTGATTGGCTGGTGGGTGTGGCTTGCCGGCATAGCAGAGGTAAGGTCATTTATTAGTGTAATTGTGATGGTTCCTAAGGTTTTAAAGGAATATTTATCCTCTTCCCTCCCCCTCTCCCCCATAGCACAGTTTAAGAGTTATTGCTGTTTAATCTTGGCAACACTTAATATTATCAAACTTTTAAATATGCCAGTCAGGTAGGTGTGCAGGTGATATCTCATTTTGGTTTGAATTTACATTTCTTTGTGGATTTATGAGAGTAAGGGTGAGCAACTTTTCATATTTTTAAGGGGCAATTAGATTCCATCTTTTGTAAAATGCTTGAATGTCAAAGAGTTATGTAACAAACAATGTATGCTAAATGATTAAGATAGAAACTGAAAGTAAGTTGCATGTCATGTAGGTTATTGATAAAAAAGATAGAGAGAACTTTAAATGAAGTAATCAAATAAGTAGAAAACTACTGTAAAAAGCAGTTATAAGCCCATTGTGGTCAAAAGTTCAAAAACATATTCTACCACTTAGTGTGTTAATCCTCTTTGCTTCCATGATAAGATAGAGTTGAATGTCAAACTACATGATGAGGTTATTATTTAAAATTAAATGATAAAATGTCAGAAAGTCTTTGGCATAGCACTTACAGAGATACAATACAGGGATTTTAGCTCTTGTGCTCTCTTTATGGTGGAATAAAACACACACACATACACACACAAAATAAACAACCCAAAACAAACAAAAAATCCCTCAGGATTTTTTTTAAGTCTGGTAGCTGGTGCTAGGTAAATAACATTTTAAGCTTAATTATCATGTTCTGGTGATGTACCAGAGTCCAATCTTTTATTTTAATGTAATTTCTTCCCTCACTGTTAATGAAATCAGCAAATTAATAAAATTAATAGAAATTGTAAAAAAAAAATTTCAAAAGTGTTGAAGCTCTATGAAAGCTCTATTCTTTTACCACAAATATCTTACTTCCCTTGGAGGAGTGCTATTAAGATTTTTGTTTGTTTTGTATTATTTGTTTTTTCCCACCATTAATCAGATCCCTTATATTACAAGAAAGGTAAAAACTGATAAAAACCTAGATAGATGAAGAAAGTGCCCATGAGGGCTCCTAATGGACAAATGACCATAGCTATCAGAACCAAAAATAAAATGTCTCATTTCAAATTCAGTCAAAAAAATTTTAAGTGCCAGGTGCCATGCTAGATATTAGAAAATATGTTAAATGATTCACAGTGAGAAAAAAATAAGGTGAATATTCTGTCTTTGTAAAATAGATGTGTTCTATAAATTGATCACAATTTTATTTTATTGACAGTATCACTAAAATACAACACTGTGAAATTACTCACTGGAACAAATTAAACAATTTTCCCTCTAAGTAGACTTACATTTCGTGAATCAACAGCTGCATACATGATATCCATCCATCCCTTAAATGTGGCCTGTAAAAAAATCACACCATTTAATTTCTTCCCCCTAAATTATAATTTTATAAAAGAAATTAAATATTAGATTGATTGACCAACATTAATTTAAAACAAATATATATAATAATTTGTACTTAATTTCTAAACTCTTTGGGCAAAGTTTTATAATATATGCTTTGGAAATACTTCAACTTTATATTCTTCTAATATATATATATATATATATATATATATATGATGTTAAATATATATATATATGATGTTAAATATATATATATATATGATGTTAAACACACACAGACATTGTGTATATATAACACAAAGATGTTAAAGATATATATTTAGTTAAACCCTGATAGATTATAACAACATGCTATTATAAAAGCAATTATTAACAACCTTTGTATCTGATGTTCCTAACATGAAATTTGATGAAGTAATTTTATGTATGTAGTACTAGAATCAAACAAGTTGAAAACTATGGTGAATTGTTTGATCTTAATGCTTTTTTCTGTTCTAATAGATACTAATATGAATCATGATGGTTTGTTCCTGAAAATCTCCTCCATATTGTTGAATATACTATTTCAAGGCACTATTCTATAAGAAGGAGTTTCTTAATTTGAAACAAACTTTATATTCAATTGCAATTTACTCTTTCAAATATTTGCTTTTTCGTGTGGACACAGTAAACCTAAAAACAAGTCTTGCACATTTTTTTTTCCAGTTCTTTAGTGCCACAGGGTCTTCCCTCTCATGTTCAGATAGTGTTGGGAATTGTGTGTGGGGGGGGTGGTCATCTCATGGAGCTTGTGGACATAATTTAGGGTGGTCGTTTGAAAAGTTGCACTAATTGTTATGAATTGATAGTGACATAATCGACTTAATAGGAAGGTTTTCATTTGCAAGAGAGTAATTCTCTCTGAAAGTGTTCAAGCAGCAGGCAGGAACATGGGAATGAGGTTGCAGTCTGTATGAAGGATGTAAAGGTGGGGAGTTTTGGTGTTGAAGCATGGGTGGGTGAGGACTTGTATCTATCTTCTCAGGTCCCTGAGAAAGAGTACAGAAGTCTACCACCCAAACCCCTAGGGCCTGTCCTTCTATTTTCTCAGAGTTGGGATGGGGAAAACAATGTGAACCCACAAAGAAATCTCAATAACAAAGAACTGTTACTGGGGTCTAATGCATAGCCTGGGAGATAATAAACTTTCAGAGCAGTCCACTTTCAACATAGTGAAGATAGATAGTTCAGTAATTTTGGAGGAGAATCTATACAGATGGACCTGGAGAAGTATGTACTTATGAATACAGAAAAAAAATTACATTCACTTTAATAATACATCAAAAGAGTAATAAAGTGGTTACTTACTACTTGAAGCAGAGAAAGATATCCAAGTCCTACATTATCAAAGTTTACTTTCACATTTTTCCACCGAGCAGTTTGATTGCTCTCTATGAGGGCTTTGCATTCGCTGTAGTTGTTGACTACACTGACATCAAACATTTCTCCAGTGGTGTAGTTAATACAATGATAAAACTTGCCAGCAAAGAGATTCACTCCCATGATACTGAATATTAGCCAAAAGATCAGACAAACCAGAAGTACATTCATTATGGATGGAATGGCTCCTAAAAGAGCATTGACAACAACCTGACATGAGAAGGAAAAATAGGTGAAAAGTCAACAACAAATATTTACTTATGGTTACCTATTTTTAAACACTATAAAAAGAACAACAGTCAAATGAGAGAAAATATATATGTTCTTAAAGTTTTATACTAGGCATAAACTAGTCTCTAATAGCTCCAACTACAATAAAATGTTTAATTATTTTTCAGAATAGTATAAAATCTATATTATGTTGTAGAATGTTTTGCCAAGTGGTAAGGCAATATGCATATCAAACTGACATCAAAGAATAGGACTAATCATGAATGCAAAAAATAATTAAGAGTACAAATAATGACATGCCTACAAAAGTAATGTAATCATGTGAATGACACAATTTTTTAAAAAAAATCATGCCAAACATAACATTTAATATCCAAAATCTGAGAGTAAAAGAGAACATTTGAGGGTCAGTTTCCAGGGTGAAAGGGAATGCTAATGATAACTATTCTGAGAAAGCAAGTATAAAGCGGGACTCTCCCAAACAAGGTAGTATAGGGTTACCCTACAAAGAAAAACTGGAGCGAAGAGAGTGAAGCACGGAAACTGAACATGAGAGGAGGAGAAAGAAAGAGTTTGGAATTCAGGAGATCTGTATTCTAGTTTGTATCACAAATTAGCTATGCACCTTTGAACAAGTTATGTAACTTTTCTGGCCCTGGGGATCCTCCTTTGTGAAATTTCTTTAAAAAATAAATGTAAGTAAGTTTTAAAGAACTTATTATACTGTTAAGTTACCACCAGAACTTCAACTCTCATGATTCAGAGGTACCTTGTCTTGACACTTAATTCTTTTTAATTTTTATTTTTTTATTGATTTCAGAAAGGAAAGGAGAGATAGAAACATAAATGATAGAGAATCATTGATCAACTGCCTCCTGCAAGTCCCCCACTGGGGATGGAGCCTGCAACCTGGGCATGTGCACTGACCAGGAATTGAAGCATGAACTCCTGGTTCACAAAGCCTGACCTCCTGGCTCAACCATTGAACCATGCTGGTCAGGCGACACTTAATTTTTAAGTTCACCATAGGAAATGTTCTAGTATGCAAATGTGAGGAGATATTGGTTAATACAATTATATATATTTTTAAAAGCTGGGTAGCAAAAAACAACACATGTATTTTCCAATACAGTTAAATCTATGGAAGTATTAAGGATTTAAGTGCATACATATGCAAATTTGATTAAAAATAGGAAAGTTATTCTAGTACTGAAAGTTTGATTGCATTTCTACAGGAAAAACTACTACTGTAAAAACAGCAATTCTCCCCGGCCAGAGTGGCTCAGTGGTTGAGCACTGACCTATGAACCAGGAGGTCATGGTTTGATTCTTGGTCAGGGCACATGCCTGGATTATGGGCTAAATTATCAGTAGGGGACATGCAGGAGGCAGCCTATAAATGATTCACTCTCATCATTTATGTTTCTATCTCTCTCTCCCTCTCCTTTGCTCTCTGAAATGAATAAAAAATATATTTAAAAAAACCCACAGCAATTTAAATTGGTAAAGTGAAAAGAATTTAGAGGCTAGTAATTAGTTTCTGTGCAACTGTAGGTGCACAAACAAAGACACACATATCTACCCTTATCATCCAAACAATGTTGAGTTTGAAATATTCATAGAAAGTCCCAAGTATTTTAAAATATCACAAAAAAATGATTTTTAAAAGTTCTTTTTTAAAGAAGGAAATCCACTATCACACAGCATCATTTCCTCGGTGCTGAGGGCATGTGGTCTCAGGTTTTGTGCCTCAGGGATGACAAATGATAAGCACAAATGCCTTCCTGCTCTTTGTACCACCTTTTTAAATGAGTGCTACATTTTCACAGTTGACCTACTTTTCAGCCATCTCAGCATGTGTTTCAAATCTAAGAAGCTAGATCTGGACTTTGAATGGCTCAAAACACATCAGTCACAGGGAGCAATGAAGAAACGATGGAAAATGATTTATTTAAATTACACTGTGTGGGATTTCCTGAACATTTATAAATGGAATGAACATCATTTATCTTGACTCACATTAGAAGCCTCCACAACAAAAATAGAGATTTCCCACAGGGTGAAAACATCTAGTAAGGAACAAACACTTAGGCATTATAGTCTGTGAGCGTCCCCCGCAGTGACAAATATTATTGATTGACTGGTTATGTCAGTATGAATGCAGAAGACACAAACTTTCCATGGATGTGTCATTTCTAAGGTACAAAATGTCTGTTCTTGCTTATAATTTCGAAAAATTCTAAAGCATTTGGTCTTACCCTCATTCCTTCAAAGCGGGATAAGGCTCTCAGTGGCCTCAGAGCTCTCAGTGTCCTGAGGGATTTGATGGCACCAAGTTCTGAGTAACCCAAGGCATTTGCAGTCAAGCTGACCAAGGAGACCTATACAGAAAAAGGAACACAATTTTCTTATTTACAGACAAAAATGCTTACACAGTTCAACAGTTCAACCTATTCAATGAACAAGCAGTTCTCAAACTTCACTGAGTATCAAAATCACCTGGAGGGCTTGTAGAAACAGAAAGGTCCTGACAGAGTCTGATTCAATAGGTTTGGGGTGGGGCTTGATAATTTGTGTTTCTTAACATTTCCAGGTGAATCGAATGATAGGGATGGGTGAGCCACACTTTTAGAACCACTATCATAAACTTATGAAAAAGGAAAAAAAAAAAAAAACTATGCAGGTTCTCTTTCCAAGAATCTTGACATGAACATTTTTGTAAATTAAGTGTAAAGCAAGAAAAATAATGGCACAGATATGCAATCTTCATCTATGTAGCTGTAAAACTTTATCATTTCTCATGCTATTGAGCAGACCTGAAAGGAAAATTGAAACTTGGTACAAGTAGACAAGTAACTACAAAATACTGGTGAATCGAAACATAAACTCATTCAGAATGATCTTGGCCTCTACATAGTGGCTTTGTCTTCATGTAAATTTTAGTGTGAAGGTGTAAAGGCATTTATTAGCTCAAATCTATAATAATAAAACCCTAATATGCTAATTAGACCAGACAGGCGAAAGACCTTCCAGATATCATTCTGGAAAACCTTCTGGATGAAGCTAGAGCTGTGAAGGCCCAGGCAAGCCCCCGAGGCTGCATGAATTTTGTGCATCGGGACTCTAGTTAACTTATAAAAGCTTAGATTTTAGTATAAGTATCTAGAAATTACCAAAACAACATTTTCTTTAATCATGTGTACAAATGAATAATGTAGTTGGTATAGTTTTAAAGTTTCAGCTGACAAAAAAGGTAAGGACTGTCACAGGTGACACAGAAATACCTGACTTCCATTGAAATTACACAGGAAACTCATTAAAATTATGTAAGCTAAAAACTATATACTGTGTGTATATATATATATATATATATATATATATATATATATATTCTCCTAAAGTGCACCTGAATTTCAAAAGCAGATAAATAAAAATAGATGTATAATATAGTTTTAAGACTTTGGCATTAATAGATATTTGACAAAAATATTTTTTAAGAAAAATAGTAGTAAGTGAAACAAAACATTTTTACAATAAAATGATATTCAAACTTATTTTGCACATGTAATCTAAAATAGCAAAACTTCTAAATTTGGAATAAAATTGAGCTATAAAATATTATTTTAAAGTGTGCTATGTATTTTTCCTAAAATATAAACTTCTAGGCTTTGTTAGTCTCCTCCTCACAGATAATTTAAACATTAAGTTCCAAATTGTCTTTGGCCTCTAAATAATTTCCATTTTATTCCATCCATCAGTTATCCCTCCACCTAATTTCTCTCCCTTAAAGAGTGAGCTTTCATTGTTACTTTTCATAGACAATCTTCGATGGCTTCTACTTTATTAAATCTCTAGTGTCCTGGTGTATGAAATTCAAGCATGGGGGGGCTGTCCCTCAGCCCCCTGCACCCTCTCCAATCTGGGACATCCCTCTCGCAATTGGGACCGCTGGCTCCTAACCTCTCACCTGCCTACCTGCCTGTTCAACCCCAACTTTTCCCCCTCTCCCCCTCACCAACCTAATCACTCCCAACTGCCCTCCCCTCCTGGCCTGATTGCCCCTAACTGCCTCTGCCTCGGCCCCTCCACCATGGCTTTGTCCAGAAGGACTCCAGGTCTAATTAGCATATTACGCTTTTATTACTATAGGTAGGTCTAAATCTCCTTGGATGGCATCTCAGGTTCTCCAAACTCTTCTCCAACTTACCTTTCCTGTCTTATCATCCATTTGCAGAACGCTTTCCCTCACTCTGCAGCACTGTGCTTACCCTCCAGCACTGCTTGTTTCTTGAACAGGCCCTGTGGGCAGACATCAGTATCTGAGCATCTTGTTGCCCCTCCCCTCATCTGTACCTGCTGACATTCTCCTCCCTTAAACTCTAGCACTGCCCTCAACACTTTCTTTCTCCCTCAGTGAAATGAATGGACAATACACATGTCATCTTCTAGTTGAATACATATCTGTCCTCACAAGACAACTATCAGTTCTGATAGGTCTAAAAAAATGACATTCACATTAGTTTCTTTAATAAAAAAAATAGATGATTAATAAATATATCAATGTAAGGCAAAGTATTGTTTAGTTTAATATTCCAAACTAAGTGTGTGTGTGTGTGTGTGTGTGTGTGTGTGTTTTAAATCCAAGAAGGTAAATATCAGGATATGTTAGGTAATATGAACACCAGCTACAGGACTAGATTTCTCTTAAGGATTTCTCTATATTCAGGTAGTATTGACTTAATGCCTTTATTATTATACTAGACGGGAAAGGGGATCCCTCAGCCTGGCCTGCACCCTCTTGCAATCCAGGATTTTTCAGGGGATGTCCAACTGTTGATTTAGGCACAATCTCACAGGGATCTCTGTGGATCAGGCCTAAACTGACAGTCAGACATCCTTCTCTCAGTCTGGGACTGCTGGCTCCTAACTGCTCGCCTGCCTATCTGATTGCCCCTAACTATTCTGCCTGCCTACCTAATGACCCCTAACCACTTTCTCTGCCTGCCTAATTGCCCCTAACTGCTTGCTAGGGGGTGGGGCCAGCCAGGGCAAGGGGCTGTGGTTGTTCTGGTCTCTGGTCATTCTGGTTGTTTCCCTATTTTAGTCTGTGGGCTTTTATTATATAGGATAGTATGTTAAATATAAGATGTTTTATTATACATTTATCAAGTATTTTAACCATATAAAGATAATAAGGAAAAGAAAAAATGTCATCTATAAACTATTATACAAATAAAAGAATGGTATAGTTTGGGTATATATTTTTATTTTTGCTAATGTCTAAACATACAGATTTTAAATATTTATTGTCATTTATTGCCAGAAAATTTCTGATGTGATTTTGTATGTAATTTTATATGGTATATTTAATAGTAGATTTGCTTCAGGCAGATTAGGAAAAAAATAAAACAAATTTATTTTTCTCTGCTAAATGCAAATATCTATTACCGTGTTTCCCCGAAAATAAGACATCCTCCGAAAATAAGACCTACTTACAGGTTTCCTTCTGAGTGAAATATAAGGCATCCACCGAAAATAAGGCCCCCCTAGGCTCTGTCTCAGAAATTTTGTGAAACCTAAACTGCAAGAAGCTGTGACTTGGGTGAAGAATTCATGGGAGAAAATCACTGACAGCTGCATTGCAAATGCACTGCGAGCAGGCTACCTTGACAAGAAGTACTCGTTTAAAGACAGTGCTATTGCTAAACATGAGAGATTTGGTCCACTGATTCTGAAAGAAATGGAGTCACAAGAAATTCACCAGGAAATTCAGAAATTGGATTGTTATGATGAGATGTTCCAGAAGATGATGACATGATTGTCATTGAATAAATGAGTAAATTCTTGATAGTGTAGGATTCACAGTTTGTCTGGTTTGTGTTGATAACTACCGTACTACCGTACCGTATACACGTAATAAATTTCCTTTATTTTTATTTAACAATAAATGTGTACTGTATTCTTCTTCATGAAAAAATAAGACACCCCCTGAAAATAAGACCTAGTGCATCTTTGGGAGCAAAAATTAATATAAGACACTGTCTTATTTTCGGGGAAACAGGGTACATAATTTTTTCTTGTGTTCAGTGATTAGAAAGGTCATAGTGGATTAAAAATCATTTTTTTACCTGAAACTAAAAAAATTTTCTTCAAGAGTCTATTTTTCTCTTTTGTTTACATGATATTTAAATTTTATATATCAAATTATGTCCTTAATTGCCAAGAAATTATTAAAATTAATAGAATATTATCTTTACAATGAACTACAATATTAAACACATTGTACTTTCCTGAAAATTCTGTTTTCTTCCTCTATGTTGATGGTGATCATCAATCTGTTCCCCTCCCCACATCCTCATTCCCTGTGCTCACCAGCTCCCCTAGACTTTATTTTTATTATAATCCTTTGTTGTTGAAAGTATTACATAAGTCTCCTGTCCTCCCATTGACACCTCCAGCCCCCTGCCCTCCAGCCCAGGCCTTTAGCACCCTTTTGCCTGTGTACATGGGCCATGCATATATGCATACATGGTCTTTGGTTGTTTACCCCCCACTACTATCCACCCTCCCCTACCTTCCCTCTGAGATTCCTCACTCTGTTCTATGCTTCTATGTCTCTGGATCCATATCAGCTTATTTTCTTATTTAGATTCCACATGTGAGTACCATCATGTGGTACTTGTTTTGTTATGGCTGACTTATTTCACTTAGCATGATGCTCTCCAGATCCCTCCATGAGGTCTCAAAAGGTAAGAGAACCTTCTTTATCACTGCTGCATAGTATTCCATGGTACAAATGTATCACAACTTTTTTATCCACTCATCTACTGATGGGCACTTGGGCATTTCCAGATCTTAACGATTGTAAATTGTGCTGCTATGAACATATCCCCTAGATTTGTCTAGAAAAAAAGCCTTTAAATTCCTTTCTCTCCATTCGGAATGAATTGATAATTTGAAAGGCATTTAAGAAGTAAATCTCCAGAACTAAATAAACATGATTTAAAACTTTTTGTTCAGTATGATCTCACATTTGTGAATAAAAGATGAGATGTTCCTCAAACTTCTCACTCAGAAATCAGGAGTAACCTCATGTTCAATGTTTTAAAGCCTCTTATACTCTGGTTCTCCATCTTACTTTATTTCCAACATCAATGCAGTTTAATAAACCTTTAAATTATTAGTTCATAGCCAAACTCTTTCAACCATCATACAAATCAAGAAGTGTCTATTGCTATTTGGACTTTCACATTTCTTTGTAATTAGTAAATCATCTATGGGACAAGCACTTTTCAACAATTTCTGGTGATAACAAAGATGCTAATGTCAAAGATGTGAATAATTTAAATACATTTATTGTATTAAATGTGAGAGTGAAAAAAGCAAACTATATTAACATATTTTTGTATAGCTTGGAATGTTAAATATTAATTTAAAGCTAAATCAATAATGATAACATAGCATTTGACTGCTGTTTCACCTATGAAAGTATATATATATATATATGTAAGTTGGTCAAAAAAATAAAAATAAAAAGGTTTTGTGACTTTGTATCATTGGGAAAATAGAAATCACCATTTATATTTGGGCCCATGCAGACAGTATTGACGGAGAGCTCACTATATATATGCTAAGCATTATTGTGAGGACTAACATGCAGCACAAGCATGTCAAACTCACAGCCCACAGGCCATATGTGGCCTACAATGAATATTTTTGCAACCCAGACAACATAACAGTATATAATAAATATTTTAATAAAAATTTTGTAACTTAATTTTTACAATATCCTATTGTACATAATTATTAACAACAAACTACAATGTTCACTAATGACTACTATAATCATGCTGCATTCATTTCCCTTATGCACCTTGCATGCAGGCGCACCATTTCTCTCCACTAATACTAGCAGCGAATATTTTAGCAGCAGATGGCCACGTCATTCATCTTGGACTGACTTGTTTGGTGTGTGCATCAAGAAATACTTCACTTTCGGAGAACAAGAAAAGTAGGTTTACTTGCATTACGCTTATTAATTCCAAATAATTAATTTGGAAATTAATTATTTCCAGCCCGCAACGGAAGCCTTCATGTTTTCCAGAGCTGTATTTTGTGTTACAGTTTTCTGTATGCAAATGACTGCTGCCTGGGCATTTCAATCAACCAATACATTCAAATTATTTAAAAATTTTAGTATCAGAAAACTTAAAATTTTTACTGCCAGCTGCTTCTCTCTACAGCAGAAAGTCACTGCAAGTAGACTAACTTCATTTAGTGCAGTCACTGGGAAGTACCCTCTCACTAATGCAAATGTAGAGCAATAAGCTCCAATTTGCATTACACAAATTAATAAGCGTAATGCAAGTAAACCTACTTTTTTTTTCCCCCAGACACAGTTATTCAGTGTCTGGAAAGTTAATGTTCAAGAAAAAATATTTATTTTTATTAAAATGTTCTATTATTTTATGCTAATGATTACTCATTTATCTCAGTCCTTTGTATCTAGCACATCTCTATTGAAATAAACCTATGTTCCTATGAAAATTGAAGCTTTTGTTTTTTTGCAGCCCACATAAACTTAAACCTCGTTTATTTGGCCAGTGTTAGCCTTTGAGTTTGACATGCTTGATGTATCATTACATGCCAAAAGACTGAAACAGTGAAGAATACTCACATCCACAATCAAAAAATCTAGCCAGCACCAGGCATTGGTAAAATACATTTGAAAACCATATGCAACCCACTTGAGAAGCATTTCCAGGATGAATATGTAAGTGAAAACTTTGTCAGCATATTCTAATATGGTCTTAATTGTTTTTCGCTGCTCAATATATATATCTTCAAAGGCCTGTAAGGAAAAAAGTCCAATTAGACTTCCTTGTACTAACTGCCGCTGATGGATAGCTTATTAGAAAATACATGCTGCAAACCTCTCCTAGGTGCCCGCGCTGGAAGCCTTCGTTTTCCACAGCTGTATTTTGTGTTACAGTTTTCTGTATGCAAGCGACTGCTGCCTGGGCATTTCAGTCAACCAATACATTCAAATGATTTTAAAATTTTAGTATCAGTACCTAAAGAAAACTTAAATTTTTTTTACTGCCAGCTGCTTCTCTCTACAGCAGAAAGTCACTGCAAGTAGACTAACTTCATTTAGTGCAGTCACTGGGATGTACCCTCTCACTAATGCAAATGTAGAGCAATAAGCTCCATTAGCCTGGGGAAGGATACGGGACTATAACCTCTCACTTTCTCCTCTCTCTCTCTCTCTCTCTCTCTCTCTCTCTCTCTCTCTCTCTCTCTCTCTCTCTCTCTCTCTCTCACACACACACACACACACACACAGTGTCCAGATGCTCCTTATGCCAACATTTTGCAGAGTTGGGACATCTGGAATGAAAAGAGGAGTTGTCTAACTCAATCCCCTTACAGGAAAAACTATGAGGGTAACCTGGTGATATGGAAGAATGATTAAGAAAAAAGGTCTTTTTTGAAGAAAAAGGGAATCAGAGCTTGTGACCACGGCTTAGCACCATGGCCTAAAATCTTTCAGCTTAGTTTATAGCTGAAGATGGAAGCTGCTCAGAAGCCAGCCTGCTGATGTACTTTCGTAAGCTTTGACTGGATGTACTTGAGAACCAAGAGCTACTACAAGAGCTCACACTAGTCACTGGTGAGATTCAGGGTTGTCTTTCCACTTGGCATTAAAACACAGGGCTGACCCTCTTTGTTCTGAGTAGTTGGCAGGATGCAGGATTGTCAATTAAATCAGAGGTGGGCTTAGAAGCCTCCAGATACAATGCCATATCCTTATATTGAAATTAATTCACCACATATTACTGGCTAACTGAAAAAAAAAAATAGTACAAATGCAACCATGTTGGTATCACTAAATAGGAAAACCGGTCACACTTTTTATTATGTTAATCAATATTCTGACCAAATTGATCATTCCATTGAATGAAATCAGACATAAAAATAAGTTTGTAATGTTTTCACTTTGCTACTAGTCAGAATCATGTCAGTGTACTATTTACCATTCACTTTGGTTGGCACTAGTGAATCAGCATGAACAAGACAGGTGAGTTCCCTGCAGCAATGGCGTTCCGTTATATTGTTTGATATTCAGCAGATAATCGCACATCATACCTTCATATTCATTCTTAGTAAGAACTGTCTCTGTTGAGTGAAACTAAAAAAGATCCTTTTTTAGATATTATAAAAACCATAGTGTTCTGAGTTTGATTCATTTGGAGGCCTACTCCAGAACAATACATTTACTGAGCCTATTTATTGGGCCTCTCACAGCTATGCTAAAAATATCACCCAATGCCTCTCATCCTCACCAACAACTTATTGTAAAAACATGAACTAGGAGGTTCATCGAGAGGAAAGGTAAAGGAACAGATCATATGTCACTTACCAGTGCCCCACTGCTGAGCAGAATCATGAAGACAATGAAGGTTTCAAACCAGTTGTGCTCCACTATTTTATAGCAAGTTTTTCTCAAGTTCCACCAGAGTTTTCCTTTGCCTTCTTCTATGCTTATCTGGCAACACTTAAACTTCCGTACACAGTCTAAAATTTGTCAAAGTAAAGGAAGAAAAAGAAAATACTCTTTGATTATGCACATTTTGTGTTGGTGGGAGATTCATCTATATTATTATTTGGCAACTAGTAAATGACTTCCATTTTTTAAGATGGCTTCCACTTATAGAAATCATCTATAATGTTTTTAAATTACTCATTCCACATATTTTTATGTTTATGTGACTATTACATTGGATTATATTGCATTATAAAGACATAGAAAAACAGACAGAAAATTGAAATCACTAGAAGTTGATAATTTCATTCATATGTGGATATTTGTATATTTGAATTCTAATTATTTCACTTAATAGTGTAATATAAACATTTCCTTTTAAAAAATAAATTTTTTATTGCTTTTAGAGATAGAAAAATGGAAAGAGAGGGAGAGAGAGAGAGAAAAAGAGAGAGAGAGAGAGAGAGGAGATAAACATCATTGAATGAGAGAGAAACATTGAAAAGTTGCCTCTTGCATATATCCCAACTGGGCATGTACCCTGAAGAGAATCAAGCCAGCAACCCTCAGGTGCATGGGACCATGCCCAACCAACCAAGCCACACCAACTAGGGCGAGTATTTCATTTTTAATTATAAGTAAATACAATATGAAAGGTTTCACAATACCTCTAAACAAGATTGCCAGACTTAACAAGAATTTATATAATTATTCCACTATTATTGAATATTTATGTAGTTTTAATTCTGGCTATTATTAGCAATAATGTAATAAATACCTTTGTGTAATTTGTGGGCTACTAGATCAAAGGCTTGCAAATAAAATTTATTGAATATCTGTTGTATTCAAGGACTTGTATTGAACAAATTATAATACTAGAATGTTTAAGACATAGCCTTGCTCTAAAAACAATATGCATTTTAAGCAGAAGAGATTCTATAATTACAAAAAACAATAATTATCACAAATAAGGTATTGTGAGAGTTTGTGGGCAGAGATTAATTTCTGATATTGAGCTTTAAGGAGGTAATGGATTCGAGATGAAATTTTAAAACATGTGTAAGAACCAGTTCTAGTACCTGGAGCTGTAAGGAAAGCAGAAACAATGGTACAGGTGGAACTTGGTGAGATGAATGCCTGGAAGTTACATGACAGAGAGGATTAGGAATCAGGACAAGAAAAGATACTGAGAGCTAATCTGAAAAGAGGACCTGAATGAGAAATTTTACATTTTATCTGCTATCTAATGGGGGAAATATTGTAGAGATTTTTTTTGTAAGCTATGAAGCTTTACCCGATAAGAACACTGATTTTAGAATCATGTAAGCCTGTTTTGAAAATTGGATAGAAGAAAGAAGATGGGAAAGGAGTTCAGAGTCTGAGACACAATCCACTGAATGTCCAGGAAAGTGAAAGCAAGGGTAATGGTGATGACAGTGATCAGGAAACAGAAGATACTGCTGAGCTGACAGGACCTGGCAGCGCTCAGAGTGCGGTGGCCCTGATGTGTGGGAGCCGGAGGAGCCCGGAGACAGGTGTTCACCACGATAGAGGACTCTTATTTATGAACAGAAGAATGGTTATCTCATCTGCAAGGAGCACAGTATTTTACTGAATAGATATTTATCAGATGCTATTTTATAATGTAAGCGGCAGATCATTATCCTTTGTTTCATGAAAGTTTAATGAAGTGCTATTAAATGTTATTAGTTTCTCATTAAGAAATATAGGGTATATTTGTTGTTTTCTCAGGGCAAGATCATTTTGATATTTCTGTTTCCCAAAGGACTGAGGAGAATTACATGTCCTAAATATATTCATTGCAATTAATTAAATGAAACTGTAATTTCCCCTCTAATGAGGATATGAGATGAAAAGACACTATTTAACCAAAAAGAAAGACCAGATTAGTAGGAATTATAAATGAAAAAAATACTGAGACACTGGTTTATCTCTAAGATAGAAGAAAGGGGCCTACTCTGTATCTTTTTTATTTTTAAATAAAAACTGAAGCAAATATAACAAAAATATTTAAATTGTCAAAGTTGGTCAGTATCTATAAATTATTCATTATTATTGTCTATAATGCTATTCTGGTAATATTTCATTCTTAATTTTTTTAACTTTGTAAAAGACAATGTTGATAGCATAATTTTTATTTATTTATTTATTTTTTAAAATATATTTTATTGATTTTTTACAGAGAGGAAGAAAGAAGAACAGAGAGCTAGAAACATCAATGAGAGAGAATTATCGATCAGCTGCCTCTTGCACACCCCCTACTGGGGATGTGCCCGCAACCAAGGTACATGCCCCTGACCGGAATCGAACCTGGGACCTTTCAGTCCGCAGGCTGACGCTCTATCCACTGAGCCAAACTGGTTTCGGTGATAGCATCATATTTATTATTATGCATACTAGAGGCATGAATTCGGGCATGGGTGGGGTTTTGCTCCCAAAGATGTGCTAGGTCTTATTTTCAGGGGATGTCTTATTTTTCCATGAAGAAGAATATGGTACACATTTATTGTTAAATGAATTTTAAAGGAAATTTATTACCTGTATACTGTACAGTAGTACGGTAGTTGTCAACACAAACCAGACAAACTGTGAATCCTACAGTATCAAGAATTTACTCATTTATTCAATGACAATCATGTCATCTTCTGGAACATCATCATAACAATCCAATTCCTGAATTTCCTGGTGAATTTCTTGTGACTCCATTTCTTTCAGAATCAGTGGACCAAATCTCTCATGTTTAGCCTAGGGTGGGGGGGGGGAGCTTATTTTTTTTGGGATGCCTTATATTTCACTCAGAAGGAAACCTGTAAGTAGGTCTTATTTTTGGAGGATGTCTTATTTTCGGGGAAACACGGTAATTAACAGCATTTTCAAGAGCTGAATAGGATCCACAAAATTAAGAATATCTGATCATATAAGTTAAATCTTACCTCTTTTTAAAAAATCATCTTTTTTTAATATAGAAAAAGTAAAGCAAACAAATAATGGTTGTTAGATAGATGTATATGATTGAAAAGGGGGAGGGCAGTGGGTGGATGGCTAAGAGAAGTCTACTGGACACACATCCATTGTTTCTCCTACCTTCTGTGAAACAGGCTTCCGGTTCCAGAGATTCTTCAGGTTCAACTTCAGGTTGTTCTCCCTCAGCGGGAGCTCCTATATCAACTGTGCTGCCTTCCGATGAGCTAGTTGCATTTAACTTCTGAAAATCAATTCCACAGAAAAGCTTTTAAAATGCTTTCTTTACTCTATAATATAAAAATTCAAAAGGTGTGCCCTCAAGTCTTCGGAATGCATTCCCTTGATCTGTAATTTAAGAATATCTTAAACATAATGCCAATCTGCTTTAGTAGAGGTAGGGGGTCACAAGATTAGATACAGCAATAAAGGATATATATATTTTTAAATAATGCTACTAACAACTTATATAATTTTTAATTAAGCCGATCATAAAGATTCTGAAATAAAGTCCTGCAGAGAGCTCATGGAAACTACCAGAGTTGTATGGTTGACCATGATCTTGCTTCGATAAATTAGTTTGCAAATGGTATAGTGTGTTTTATTCTAAAATTGTGACCCAACCAACGAAAGCTGTATAAGTGTATTTTCATGTCAAATGCAGAAAAGATTTGGTCAAATGCACATAGACAGCAGTAATCTAAATTTATCCACTTTTCATTGACATGAAAACATATACCATCAGTTGTTATTAAATATATTGTATAGTTTTCTAACTCCCAAAAGAGCAGCACATTGTTAGCTTTATAGCAAGAGCTGATACTTTGCATTCTCTTTGGCCAATGCACTCCCATGTTTCACTGTGCATTTGGAAACTACTTGTTACTCTGGCACTCTTACCTGTTTTGTTAGTACAAGCAGAAATAAATTTTTGGTTGCTGTTTTGTTTTCCGCTAGGTTAAATCAAATACCACCAAAAGTATATGTTTATGTACTGGAAAGAAATTGTTTTAAATCTTGAAATGCAATAAACTTTAGCCAGGTCAGGTCCTTAATGGATCAGCATAAATGAAGAGACCCCAGCCTTTAACCTGATCTTAAGATGCTGCAGTCATGACACAGGGCCAGGTATGAGTGCCACGTGGAACCAGAGTAGTTTGGGCCAGTGCATTCTCCAACCTGTTACAATGTTATTACCATTAATGCATAACATTAGGAAACGGCTGAGCTGGTAAGAGCTACATTATAAAGGGGATGAGGTAAGCACATGATAAAATGCAGGTTAGAATATATGTTGAACTATTATAAACTAGATGTAGTCAGAACTAGAAACATTCTATGCACATTTGGCCTAAGGAGTCTATGAATTATCCTGGGAAAATGGTTAATTTATTGTACGAAAATAATTTTCTTTATATAAAATATTTACTTGACAAGTGGTGCTCATGAAGTAAAATATTTATGGATAATCTATGAGATTGAATGCTTTGTCTGGTCCTGACCAGGGAGCTCAGTCGGGTTAGAGTATCAGCCAAGATATGCCAAAGTTACAGGTTTGATACCCCATTGGGGCACATATGAGAAACCAACAGTGAATGTATAAACAAGTGGAACTAATTGATGTTGTTCTTTCTTTTTCTCAAAATCAATCAATCAATATTTTTAAAATCAGAAATGTATCTTATGTAATTTAACAATATCAATTATGGACATGTAAATATATATGTCTGCCTTGGAAATAGTTTGGGCATTGCTTTTTAATTTGACCAAATTAATGAAATCAAGGATTATATATTGTAAGGTGTTTACAGGTTGCTGTTTTATTTTTTCTACTTATCAACTATATCACAATATTGATAGATAATCAATTATAATATTTTTGTCAACAAAATTTAAATATAGTTTCTTTTAAGATGAAATGCCAAAGTGAAATTTATTACAAATATTTTAAATTTTTGGACTATTTCAATTTCCTATCCTTGTCTTAGATATGTGTAGCCTTTTTTACATACATAATCAACTAAGAAATGATTTGATTACCCTCTCCTTGCAACCCATCCGATTCACAGGAAGTAGTTACCTATTAGGGATCTGAAAATACTGATCTTATCATTTGCAGGATGTTGCAATATGATATAAGTAATCAGAAAAATTGAAGCACAATTATATCTGATCTAACTACACACAGCCCACAGTTAGAATTGGATAGCATTCCTCTTAGGAACAAGCACCACACTGCAAAGACAGATGAGGGGAAGACCTGGGACAGGGCCCAAGTAAAAGCTGAGGATCCATATTCAGGGTGTTCTATACTCTCAAGCTGGCATTGGTCAGTTAGTGCATCAGGGCTGGGAATGCTGAAGGTACTCAATAAATATTGTTTGAAAATGAATGAAAGAGTGGACTTCCTATCATAATGGTTAGTCCTTGACAATGATTGGAAAAAGTCAACAGACAAGATATTCCAGGAAATCTTCATTCAAATGTTCAAAAGTTTCCAGAGGGCCCTGCAGTATCAATTTATCAACCCTTTAATTTAGCACAGTGACTTAGTGTCAACCTAAAATTAATAGATGCTTCTAAAATATTGCTTTGGGGATAGGCTTAAGGCCAAAGTTACACTTTAGTACTACACTTTAGTCCTTGTTACCTTCTTAAATAAGGAAGATGGGAAAAAAATCAAAAGTATCATTATTAACATACTACATTATCCAGAAAACACTTTATTCTTTATAATGAAAACATTACCAAATTTTCTGACCTATGAATCTCAGGATCTTAAATCTCTTTCTTGGGATGGCAGAAGGAGCCTCTGTGGCCTATCCTTCAGCAGATAACCAGTGCCCCAAACACACACGTATTTACTCCTTTTTTCCTTCAGGTTGTTTAGAGCTTTCTTTCGCCCTTCCTCACTAACCCACTGGAAAACTTGACTTTGAGAATTACACATTCTCCAGGATAAAATCATAGCTGTATTGAACTCATCCTATTATTGCTTATCCAAACCTTCTATATACATAGTCCCCCCCACCACCACCACCACCACCTCCACTGTTTAAGTATCAGAATTCAGTACGTAAGGCAGAAAGTTAGACTTGAGCAGCTGGGGTGAGGCCTGCCATGGGGTCTTGGACTGGGGTCAGACCAACATTGCCTTCAGACCGCCACTGGCATTTGGGAGCCAGCTGCTTCTTGGCGCAAGATCAGAGGAAAATGACATGACCTCAATGTCAATGTGACCTTAATAAGGCCCTGGACTAATTATAATAAAAACTTGCATTTCAGTTTTCACCCCGCACTTCTATGGGTTTTTCTGTATGCATTACGGGTAAGGGCATGCCCAGAAGAAAGGTAGTTTCTGGCAGTCATCCCTGAATACAAACGAAGGCTCCATCCAGAAAACCTCCATTTTAAACACGGAAATTTGGGGCCAATCTCTCTCTCTCTCTTCTGGCATGAACCTCCTTTGTAATGTATCTTCAATAAACCCCATTTTGCTTTACTACTTTCATTTCCATTGACCTTAAAATCTTTTCTGTGTCGATGAAAAGAACCCACGTTCCAGCCAGTAGCCCCAGTGGGTAACAAGTATGTATGTATACTCTGGTAGGAAACTGACAATGCTTCCTAAGGGAGGATCAGAGACCTATTAAAAAATTGGAAACTGTAATGTGAGAGTTGAGAATAAATGAAATCAATTTGGTTTGTGTGCTTCTATACTTACTGCCACCAAATCTGCCTTTCCTCAGTTACCTCTCAACAAAGGCACATGGCAATTGGGATACTCAGAGAATAAGGAAACCAACCTTGACTTTTTTCAAGAAACTGAGAAAAACAAGCCATTATCCTAAGGAGTCATATACCGTGCTTTTTCTGAAGAATTATTATATAATAGGAAAAAAATTATAGTCTCTATGTATATGTGTTAAATCGTGAGAAATGATACTTCTCAGGTCTCATTTCACATATCATTCCTCCAATAGATGAGGCATTACCTGTTATGGGATCTAGAGTGGAAGTGACTGAATATTTTGCTCTAAAGGATAAGAGAATGCTATAAGAATGACACAATCATTTCTCCTTCCAAATAAGCAAATATGAGTAAGCTAGGGTTGTTTCATAGTTTTGATGACAGAAGGAGAGGAAACTGCATCTAAGTGACAAACTAATGATCTTTAAAAAATCATTATAATCGAGTAATTTGCTTAGTATATTTTAGCACATAAATGTGACTTCAACATCAGAAAATGAAAGATTCACCAAATGGATCTCTTGGAACGGGACAATCTTCATTTATGTATGGTAGTCCCATGACAAGGAAGGTCCCTCCTTCTCAAAAACACCAAACAGGAGCTCACAATGATTTTTTTTTTTTCCTGTATAGGAGTCTGCATGACATATTTAAATAATATTTTTCAGGAAAAAATACAGGAGAGACAAAACACAAAGGACTGAGGAACAATAGGATAAAGAAAATGGATTCCAGATCTATTTTCTCTCTGAAAATACCACCTATAATAAATACTTTTTTTTTTTTGTATTAGAAAAACATTTTTTTTTTCAGTTGTAGGAGCTTTTAGGGGTAAACAATAGAATCTCCAAGGGGGTCATATTCTAAATGCAAAATACTTTTGGTCAATTGCTAAATAAAGCAATGCTATTTTCTCTAAAATTAAGCAGATAAAAATTATACCCATGCTGATAGCAGCCAAAACATAAACATTCCAATTCATTTACATTATTATAACATAAAGGCATCCTTCAGGAAGTTTGCACATATATAAAGGATTGCTTTAATTTGCAGATTATCCTTCAGAAAAACTTAATATGATACTGAACAAAAACAATTACCAATAAAGCACACTCATTGAGGCTATATTAAAAAAAAAAAAAAAAGGTAATTGAGAAATAAATTTAACAGAGGGGGGATGGCAATAGAAAGCTTTTCTGCCAGAGTCCTTCAAAGAGCACCTATTGTACATTTCTCCTTAGACCCTCAGCATGTTAAAAACTCTGTAATGTTAAATGGAAATTAAATAATCCATAAAGGCATGCACTTTCACTTTACACGGAGCATAATTTCCATTAAAAAATCTATGTAAGGAAACTAGCAGCTAAATCGTTTTTTAAAAGTTGGGTTGCCAGACTTGCCTGACCAGCATAAGAGCAAGCTGTGCATGTTGTTATTTTACTGCCAATGGATGGGCAAGGAATGTAGCTGAGTAACATGCAGGCCAGTCAAAATTCATTTAGAAACTGATTCTATTTATATATGTACAACTTGCTTGGGTAACCTGGGTAAAAGTGGTGGCACAAGCCTCTGGCTGGTTAAAAAACACCAGCGCTGCATTCTTGATGGCTCCAGCTTGATTTTTTACTCCTGTGAGAAGTAAGAATGGTAAGCAGTGAAGGTCACCAGATTGCACTAGTAAATTTCACTTAGAAAAATCAAGCATGCTTTCAAAATTATTAAAACGCTCAAGAAAAATCAATCATTCAAAATCACAAAGTATAAAAGGAATCACATTAAATATAGTAAAAATAACATAAGAGTTAAAGCATATATGATCAGGATGAATTTAAAATGATATGCTCTAGAGAATCTACGGAACTATCAAAGAATCATGCAAATTTGGCAAAGACAAAATAGAAGAGTATTTAGCTCAAGCACCTAAACAACTTGGTTAATCTGCCCTAGAAAAAGAAAATCTGGCCCACTTGGTTAATCTGCCCTATAAAAAGAAAATCACTTAGGCATTTCAAAAATTAAAAAGTGCTTCATTTCTCCCCTTTAATATTTTAACCACTTAGAAAAGAATATCAATAAGACTCAAACCACTTCTTAAAACTCTACATGCAATATTGAACAGCATAATCCCATCCCACCAGCTAAGAAAAGGACAAGATAAAAATAACTTGAAGACTAAAACAGATATTTCAGGTGGGAATACTGGGAATATTTCAATTCTCTTTTGTTTTCTAGTGATAGACCTATCACATTAAATACCAAAAGATTAAAGCCTGCACATATTCCCTTCCTAAACTATTGCCTAATCTTTTATGAGTTTATATTTAGGAAGCTTGAAATGAAGCCATAATTAAAAAAATTCTCCAAATAATACATTTTAACACCCAGGTAACAATCTCTATGGTTGGGAAGGTATTGAGAGGACTCCATAGCTGAAGCAATAAAATAATTTTATTTACTATGGGAAGGTCAGTTGTCTGCCTCCAATTCCAAAGTACTGAGTTCACATATATTATTTTTGGAGTACTTAACTCATACAGAAAACACACGACAAATTTAATGATAAGAGGAAAAATTGGGAAGACAGTTTGGATTTTCCTGCTATTAAGCTCCAGCTTACTGGATGCTCCTCTAATATCAAACCTAATGCTTTGTGGGGAGACACAATACATGTTCTTTTGGAGAAGCTTGAGGCTTTAAAATTTCTGAATAAAGAAGACTGGATGTCAAGTTACCTACACCTCAAAAAATACTCAAACTTAGCCAAAAGCTTAAACTGACTGAGGGCTGCAACATTTGATTATTTATAATCCATTCTTAGTATATATATATATAAGACTCTAAGCATACATAAAAATAAAAATTTACTTTGGTTTTGGTTGCTATTTTTATTTATTTATGCAAGCTTTTGTTACTGGGAAAGCCATCCATATTTTTGTATAGGTAAACAATTAAATACTGAGGATTTCAATTCCTTCTTCTCTTTACCCCAACTCTGTGCATTAACCTATAAACAAACAAAAACATACTCTAATACTCATACCTATGGTGAATCAAAAAATACTTTAAACTACCCAGACTCTTACTGTAGTTGTTAAATGCACAATTTTACATTCTATAAAATATCATGCAGGTACTGGGCTCAATAGAGTTACAAATATTTTTCAGTGTGATTCCTCATCAATATCTTCACTTCCTAAAATTATTTACTTCACAAAATATGAAAGTATATGTTAATATCAACCCAACATTAAAATCAGATTTTCTATGAATAAGTATACTTATGGAAACTAATTAAAATCACATTTTATGAAGTATTTCCTAAGAACCAAGAATTTAGCAAAATCAGAATCGGAACTTACCTTCTCACAAAGTATTTTTGATACATATAAAAAACACACACACCATTTTGGGATAATTATAAGGAAGAAAGTGGATTATCAGAGGCATTTTTACAAATCTAAATTTATATTTAAATACTTAGAAAAATCCATATTAATCTAATTTTTAATATTATCAATAATTCAAAATAGTAGATACTTGAAAAATTAGCCAGCAGATTACTTGTCTAGCTATATTTTAATATATCATTGATTTATCACCAATTTGCCAAAATGTATCAATTGATATTTCCTATTTTCTTATTGAAAGAAAACATAATTTTTAAATAGTTTGATATTTTAAAGCTTAATACCAAAATATCTTATTTAAAAACTCCTACCTCTTTGCTTTCCTCCATATCTGACTCACTGCTGAATTCTTCAGTATTTAAATTTTCAAAGTCAGATTCTCCAACAGCAATTGGTACAGTCACAGTAAGGCTGGGGTTGTTTATAAATGACATGTAATCACTTTCATCCACGACATATTTTTCTACACTGCTTCCTATGCCACTGGTAGTTCCATTCCCATCTTTGAGATAATTGAGGTCTTTGCCTATTTCTATGGTGGTATGGTTGGAAATACAGCTGTCTTTTTTGTTATTCAGATCTTCAAGAGGTTTAGTCTCATCTAAAGCTTTCTGCTTTCTAACAATGGCTTTCTGAATAAATTCATGTGCTTTTCTTTTAACATAATCAATTCCTCTCTGCATCCTTCCCACAGCAATCTGGAGGTTGTTCATTTCGTTATCATCATCAGTGGCAGCAAGGTTGTCAGAGCTGAATGAACTTAAAAGCAAGGCCAGGAAGAGGTTCAGAACCTAAAACATAAGAGGAAATCAGGTGACGTGAACATTCTGTCACTTCAATGGTTATTTGTTTTCTAAAATTATTCTTAAACTTAGTTTTTCATAAACTTAATTTCTTTTTTTCTAGCTCATCATCAACTATCCTGAAAAAAAAAAAAGTGAATGAAATAAATACCTGGTTAATATAAAATGATGCTATTAACATAATTTCCTTTTTGTCATTGCAAGATTACTGAAGCCATTGTTGCATAATATATCTATATTAAGTTTCATTCAAAAAGAGGAATCTTATAAATAATAGTACAGTGAAAAAGAAAAAAAAGAAGTTTTAATTGGGATGCAAACTATTTTGCTCATGTAACCTGGATTTTCTAGGACAATAATAATTTATTATCATTTTATTTTTAAAACCAAAGATTATTCTAATCAAATATGCTTTGATTTTTATGTATTTATACCAATTTTTCCACCTAGGTAACTTGCCAAATTAGGGGAAAAAAACAAAAAACCTCTTGCTAGATCAAAAACCAGATTATTTATTTTTTGGCTCAGAAAATCAAGGCCACTATATTTATACAATAGTTGAAAATATTACAAATAAATATTTATTATAAAATAATGGTGGTGCTAAGATTGAGTTTAAGATTGTGGAATAAAGTTATTTCCATGAATAAGACCAGTAATTAGTCTATAAATCTCATCTCCAAAAATAGGCTTCATTGGTATAAGTGTGTGAAAATAATACTAACATATTTTGATTCATGTAAAATTTTGGGAAGCTATTATATCTGGACAACTCAAAATAGATATGTCAACTTTTCTTCTTACCAAGTTAAAACTTATACCTCAATTAAAGATATTTCAAGTCCAAATTCCTTGACAAAACCTTTCCTTGTCTTTCCAAAGTAGTTTTTCCATTTTGGGAACTTGACATACGGCACTTTGTTTTTTATATCTTTGACATGTATTAGATACTTCCTATTTTTACTTCTGTTCGATTACATGTATTATCGCTGTGACATATTTATTTTCCTATCATCTTTCCCAGCCCTCCAGGACTCAACGCAGAGGTGCTCGGCATGGTTCTTTTTATGGAGACATGATAATAAGTGATTCTTGAGTCAATGTTACTTGCTCATACTCTAGTTTAAGGCATCCAAGACTTCATGAACTCTTAATGGACTGAGAGGATAACTAATTGCTTTTTAAACTTCAGTTAGTGGAAAACTCAAATTTGAAACACTCCAAGTAAAAATGAAGTGAGTGGCTGTTCTTAGTAATTCTTCCATGCTTTAGCATAAGAACTGAAAGATAAAAGCCAGAAATAGCCTTCTCCATGACTAATAGGAGGTTTTAGTGATAAAGAACAACTTTAGCTCAAAACGTATCTTAAGAGTTCGTTATAGATCCTGTTGTAGTTCATAAGCATGATGATTGGGTGTGCATGCTCTTGTGTGAGATACGCCTTCCTGAAATCTTGTTACATTGGCACATTATTCATATGATGTGAAAAAAAAATTATGTTATATATTTCAACTGTAGCTCAACAAGAAAAAATAATAATTGAAACACTTCTAAAAATACTTATGTGTGATCCCACTCCTAGAAATATATCCCAAGAAACTAAAAACACCAATCAGAAAGGATATATGCACCCTTATGTTCATAGCAGCACAATTTACCATAGCTAAGATTTGGAAACAGCCTAAGTGCCCATCAGCAGATGAATAGATTAAAAACCTGTGGTACATTTACACAATGAAATACTACACTGTGATAAAAAAAAAAAAAAAAGAAGGAATTCTTACCATTTGCAACAGCATGGATGGAACTGGAAAGCATTATGCTAAGTGAAATAAGCCAGTCCAAGAAAGATAAATTATCACATGATATAAGTCATTTGTGGAATAAAATGCACAACATAAACTGATGAACAAAAACAGATTCAGAGACAGAGAAGCATCAATCAGACTGTCAAACCTCAGAGGGAAGGTAGGGGAGGGCAAGGGTAAGAAAGAGATCAACCAAAACACTTATATGTATGTTTACAAGCCTAACCAATGGACACTGGCACCAGGGGTGTAAGGGCAGGAGGAGGGGGGAATGAGGGAATAAGTACAAATATGTAATACCTTAATCAATAAAGAAAAAATAAAAAAATAAAAATGCTATGTGGATTTTAATACTATAAACTAGCTTCTAAAATAATGAATAATTGAGATTTGCAACTGGTCTTGATACAAAAAATAACATAATAAAACATTCCTCAGTTAAGCATAGTTTTAGATATGGCTACATTATATTTTACTGAAAATAGAAAAACGTTTTTACATACCACTAGGTTTCCAATGACCATGACCATCATGAAGACAGTAAGGCACATGGTTTGGCCAGCGACCTCCATGCAGTCCCACATGGTCTCTATCCACTCTCCACACAGCACGCGGAACACAATCAGGAAGGAGTGGAAGAAGTCATGCATGTGCCAGCGCGGAAGTTCACAGTCGCTGGAGATCTTGCAGACACATTCTTTGTAGCTCTTGCCAAAGAGCTGCATGCCAACCACAGCAAAGATGAAGACGATGATGGCCAACACCAAGGTGAGGTTCCCCAGAGCCCCCACTGAATTGCCGATGATCTTAATTAGCATGTTCAGGGTGGGCCAGGATTTTGCCAACTTGAAAACTCGGAGCTGGGAACAAAATCAAGAAAGCTGTTACTGTCCTGTCTTCTAAACAATCTATAAATCTATTTATGTGGAAAATCTACAATGTCTCAATTGTAGGGTGATGAATTATTTGTGTGTCAAACTATTATCTAGCATAGGGGTGTCGAACTCAATCAGAGAAGGGGCCAAAATCTAAAATCCAACCTAAATCGCGGGCCGAATGGTTTACTGAACAGTCATAAACTGTCATTGTGATGGAAACGCAGCGGAGTGCAGTGATGACAGCGCGGTGCGGGCCACATTGCAAGGCCTGGCGGGACGGATTTGGCCTGCGGGCCTTGTGTTTGACACGTGATCTAGCATATGCTATCAGCTTATTTTTCTAACATGGGGCACTATTCATTTGGAAATAGATATACCAAATTCCTCAGAATCTTACATAAGCACAGGTAATAGCCTTTTGTTTTTTTGTAAGGAACTGAGGTATTTAAGACTTAATGGTAATTAATTAACTAAAACTGTTTCAAAGAAGTAGGGGCTCTCAATATTTAAAATCTTGAAATGGATATATTTTTTCAGTGTACTGAAAATATCATGCTAAAATTCAAAGATGCAGATAAAATCAAAGCAAAGTACATAAAATACAAGAGAAAAACAAACTAATTTTTAAAAATTTAGATTGCTTCAATCTTACTGTATCTTCAGCTTGAAATTATTAAGCTACATGTTAAAGATTTACTATAGTCAAAGAAGAAATACTTGGACTTAAGTAAAAGCTGCATTTTGTCAACCTTTATGTCTTCAGTGATTTAATTAATCAACAACTCATTAGAGTGTGTAAATGGCTTTCCACCGCTGTGCCTGACTTATTTTTGTTTTAGCTCATAGAGGCCTCTAAAATACCATTTATGGTTAAACAGCAGCAACATTTTATTTCTGATGCTTCAACAAATGTCAGGCCAACAGTAGTGCATTATTTAATGGCATCTAAGTGACTCAAAGAATCAAATGTAAGTATGAAAATGTTTAATTTATTCCCAGAGGATAATTAAATTACCTGACATTCTAAGCAAGATGCTAATGATATTATGCTTCCTATTTCTTTAAACTGCATCACATTATCAAAACTATTTGCTAAACATTTAAAAAAATAATTGCCCATATTTACTTTTATGTAATAATTTCTAACATTTATTCTATTTCTTTGCATTCTTCTGACTTCAAATTAGATCCACAGCTCTCTGTGAAGATGGGGGGAAAAGACCACAGCTCTAAAGATCTCTACTCAAATGTGAAATTTGAAAGTGGTAAGGGAAATTCTAAACAAACTTCAGAACACGATGTTCTTAAGACTAATCGTGGCTCAGTTGGTTGGAGCAATCTGGTTTGTTTTTAAAATGCATTCAAATAATATTGTGACCATGTAAAATACCATAATGGTTACTAGAAAGAGTGAAAACAAATTAAATAAATTATAAAAACATTATGGATACTTCCAATTAATTTACCAGCCGAAATGATCGAAGAACTGACAATCCTTCCACATTTGCCAAACCAAGTTCCATTAAACTAAGGCTCACGATGAAACCATCAAAAATATTCCAGCCTTCCTGAAAGTAATAATAGGGATCCATGGCGATGATCTTGAGAAACATTTCCGCGGTGAAGATCCCAGTGAAGACCTAAATGAGAAATGTTTTTTACATGAGTGAATAATCTTAACAACATAAAAATTATTGAGTAATTTACTGCCAACAAATCATAATTCTGTATTTTAAAAATCAGTTTAAGTCCAGCAAACTATTCCCTCAAATGGTTTGTATTCAAATCAATATTTAATTGTTTATTATGTTTAAGGTTTATCAAGTGATGACGAGCACATGAGTTAAGATAATAAAATTAATATTCTTATGTTTACATTCTTATATGAAAGGCTCAGCTAACTCATTGTGGTTAACTGCCCGGCTCTGCCTTTGAGCTCTTTAGCCTTCCAAAATCTCACCAAATGCTTACCTAATAGTTTTCTCTCATGGCCCCACAGGCAAGGTTGATGCTAAGGATGCACTTAACAACCCTCTGTAATGAACATGGTCACCACTCACCCTTCAGATGGAAAGAATACTAAAAAAAACTTCTTTTAATAAAAATTAATAATGCCCAGCCACTAGAAGCAACATTTTCCATTCTCCATTTTCTTTGTGTACAGCTTTATCAAATGATATTTGTTTCTTAGCTTTAAAATATCCATATATGTATAAAATATAAAGATCAAATGAAAGGCCCTTTCTTTAAAATTAACTTTTAATTTTTTTTTCTTTCCTTCATCGCATCACTTTTTTAGGACCTCAATTGTTTCCAGTGAGATGTTAGTCCCTTGTGTAGTACAGTCACGTGCTGCTTAAGGACAAGCATGCGTTCTGAGAAATGTGTCCTAAGGCGATTTTGTTATTGTGTGAACCTCAAAGATTGCACTTGCACAAACCTAGTGGCATAGCCTACTACACACCCACGCTGTGTATTATAACCTATTGCCCTGTAGGGGAGAACATTTTTTTCCTCTACCCTTTAGGTTCTTGGCTGAGACACTTCTGTAATAAAACAAATTAACAGGAGAAAACAAACATTCAATAGGACCTATACATAGGACACCCAGAGAAACCAAAATGGCTGAAGCCACCACCTTAAATACCATCTGCAGCTAGAGACAAAAGAACATGTTGGAGGTTAGAGGAATCAGTTATGAAGGGTTACCAGGAAAAGCACAGTAAACAGGGGTAAGATTGTTACACAAGTTTAAGTCTTTGTGTTCTGCATCAGCATCGATAAGAATTTCTAGAGATAAGGTCACTCTCTCCTTGTGGTATAGCTGGGAGGCACTCTGACAAATGGAAAATTCTTCTACAAACGTAATTGTCTTTTGCAAAGGGTTCTATTTCATCCCTTTGTCTACTGTTTTTTTTTTTTTTTTTAATTATCTAGTTTAAAATAGAATAATCCTTATGCAAGAGAGACATATTTCTGTGTAACAAATTCAGTTTCCCTACAGCTCCAGGCTATAAACCTGCTCAGCATGTCATTATATTGAAAACTGTTGGCAATTGCAACAGCATGTTATTTGTGTAATGTAATGCAATGTGCTATCACAAGACTATAACTATGACATCATCAGTGGACAGGAATTTTTCAGGTCCATTATAATCTTAATAGAGGCCTAGCGCATGAAATTTGTGCACAGAGAGTGGGGAGTGGGGGTGGGTGGATGTCCCTAAGCCCAGCCTGCACCCTCTCCAATCAGGGACCCCTCGAGGAATGTTCGACTGCCCATTTAGGCCCAATCCCACTAAACGGGCAGGCAGACATCCCTCTCACAATCCAGGACTGCTGACTCCCAACTGCTTGCCTGCCTGCCTTCCTGATTGCCCCTAACAGCTTCTGCCTGCCAGCCAGATCACCTCCTAACCACTCTTCTGCCAGCCTGATTGATGCCTAACTGCTCCCCTGTTTGCCCCTAACTGCTCTCCCCTGCAGGCCTGGTCCCCCCAACTGCCCTTCCATGCAAGCCTGGTCACTCCCAACTTCCCTCCTTTACTAACCTGGTCACACCTAACTGCCCTCCCCTGTAGGCTTGATCACCCACAACTGCCCTCCCTTGCAGGCCTGGTCCCTCCCAAATGCCTTCCCCTAATGGCCATTTCATGGCGGCCATCTTATGTCCACATGGGGTCAGTCATCTTTGACCACATGGGGCAGCCATCTTGTGTGTTGGAGTGATGGTCAATTTGCATATTACTCTTTTATTAGATAGAATTAGATAGGGTAGAGGCCTGGTGCATGTTGGGGACCAGCTGGTTTGCCCTGAAAGGTGTCCCAGATCGGGGTGGGGGTTTCCTTGGGGCTTGGGGTGGCCTGGGTGAGAAGTCTGTGGTGGTTTGCAGGCCAGCCACGCCCCTTGGTGACCCAAGTAGAGGCCCTGGTATCTGGGATTATTTATCTTCTATAATTGGAATTTTGTAGCCTTGAGTGGAGCCAAGCCTCCTGCTTGCTCCATGGCTGCAGCCATTTTTCTTGAGATTTATTTATTTACATACTTGCTCCTGATTGGCTGGTAGGCATGGCTTGTGGTGTAGCAGAGGTATGGTCAGTTTGCTTATTACTCTTTTATTAGATAGGATAAACTTGCTTAATTAGACCTGTTTTCTGATTTAGCTAAGATTTTTCCAGTGCAGTAAAGCACCCCAACTTCTGTTTTAGGTAATTGTGAGCAACACAAACACCAGTAAATATAAACACCAAGCAAATTATTATTGTAGATCACGCAGGGAAAACAAAGGGTAAAATATTTAACTGCAGCAGTGTTTAACTATATTCTGCACAGTGAGAAAACCTGAGGTCATTTTCCAGGTCCACCATTTCTTACTTCTTTTCAGTCGGGTCTAGTTTCTAAGCTTTCTAAATCTCCCTGGGGACAGGAAGCCAGATGTTGTTGTATGATGTCGTTACCCAGTGCCCACAGCCATGGCTTCTGGGCAGGGCTAGGCTGTGGGTCACATTTTGCACCATGGGGTCTCAGCTCAGCAGCATCTGCTGTGATTTGGTGGGTTGTTGCTTCAGGGTAATGGTGAGGCTTGTGTCTCAATTGTTGGAAGCCAAGTGTTGCTTTGTGAGTGCCAGGTCTGCAGTACCATTTCTCTGTAAATAGCTAGTGCATGTCATGGCAGCTCCTGTGTTGAACGTCTGCCACCTAGTGGTCAGTGCACATCATAGCAACCAGTCAGAGAGACACTTAGCACATTAGCCTTTTATCTTACCTAATAATAGACAACCATGTAAATTGACCAGACCTCCCCTATGCCACCAGCCATTCAGAAGTGATATGCAAATTAACCCAACAAAGATGGTGGTTAGTTTGCATACATAGGTACTGAGTGACAGGGGTGGGACACTTGCGGACACTTGCGGACATTTGCGTTGTCACCATGGTGATGACGCAGGTATTCTGCCCCACCCCCATTTCTCAGGGCCTCTGGGCAGCGTGGGAAGGCAGGGCAAAGCAGAAAGAGGCAGCTCTGGGGCCTTGTACATTGGGCTTCTAGTATATATAGAATAGGCCACTCAATAGTATTCTACGGATTAGTGAGACTCAAATTCATTTTCTTTATTTTCTGCTGTTCCAATTAGATAATTTCTATTCATTTGCCTTAAGTTTAACAACCCTTTCTTCTGACAAGCTGAGCCTCCCCTAGAAAGTTGTAATTTCTGTCAGTTGCCCCTCAAACTCTGCACCAGACAAAGCTGCACCAGGTACCACTTTATCAGGCAAAGGGAATTTCTCAACCTTAATGCATACTTAAGCCCCAGAATGACTGCCTGGTGACCTTACCCTCATTACAAGAGTAAAACACACACCTGGGTGGAGACTTACATGCGAATGAGACCGTCCAGGCAGGAAGAAGTATTATAGTACATAGTTCCACTGCACAGGCGCCAGAGTCCCCGCCTCTGAATATTAGACTTCAGGCTCCTGCCTCAACCCTTTTAGAACTGTTCCCGGCTTTTGTTCTGGAGGCAGCAGCCACTCCTTTCCCCCTTGGACACTGTTTCCCTTGCAAGCTCCATCTATTTAATAAACCTTCGCCTGACTCCTCATTTCTATCGTGGGAGTTCCCAGGAGCCCAAGGCCCCGGTAAAACATCCAGTGAGTTTTTCCACTTTAGAATTTGTACCTTTCAGTTCTAAAATGTCTAGATAATTGCTTTTTATACTTTTCATTTTTATATGTTTATATTCTCCATCTGTTTATTCTTCCTGATCCTTTTCCCCCCTTCAAATTGTTAAACATATATAGCTCCTTTAAAACCCCTTCTCAATAATAGTTCCACTAAAATTCTTTTTTTGTTAACTGTATCAATTCTGTCATTTCTGGTTCTATTTATATTGAGTGTTTTTTGTTTGTTTGTTTGTTTGTTTGTTTGTTTTTTGCCTCCCAAGTATGAGTCACATTTACCTATTTCTTCACATAATACATTATCTTGTATGTGCTGTGGATGATGTGTTATAGCGATTTTTGATTTAATTATTTTCCATTGGAGAGTATTGGTATTTTTCTAGCAGGCAGGTAAATTATAGGTTGGCCGCCTGGAACTTACAGTACCTTGGTTTTATATTTATTTAGGGTAGGGTTGCTTTGGTTTACTCTTTGGTCTAATTGAAACTTCTGGTTCTCTGACATAATTTTTACTCCTAAAGTGTAGCCATCTGGGGTTTTAAAGTCCAAAGTATTTGTCCAATTTCTTTTCTTGGATGGCTTCAAATCCCAAACTTGGTTGGCAAGTATTCCCTTTTAATTTTTTATTTATTTATTTATTTATTTATTTTTTTTGGGGGGGGAGGGAGAGACAGTTTGTGAAGAACTGGCGTTCTTTTTTATTTTATTTTATTTTATTTTATTTTATTTTATTTTATTTTATTTTATTTTATTTTATTTAGATTTTAGATAGAGAAAGAGAAATATTGATTGGCTGCCTTCTGTACACAACCTGATGGGGATGGAACCCACAACCTGGGTATATGCCCTGAATGAGAATCAAACCCAAGATTTGTCAGTATATAAGACAACACTCCAACCAACTGAGCCACACTAGCCAGGGCTTGGTGCTAATTCTTTTTTTAAATATATTTTTATTGTTCATATCATTACAAATGCTCCTTTCCCCCTTTCCCCCCCTCCATTGGTGCTAATTCTTAAAACATTCGGTAGAATTAACCAGTAAAACTCTTCTGGCCTAGGCTTGCCTTTGTGAGAACATTATTTTTAAATTATTAATTCAATTTGTACCTATTACAGGCTTTTTCAGATTTTCTGTTTCTTCTTAGGTCAATTTCAGTAGTTTGTTACTTTCTAGGGATTTTTCTATTTCATCAAGGTTATCTAATTTGTTGGCACACAATTGTTTGTATTATTATGTATACTCCTTTTTATTTCTATAAGGTTTATAGTAAAATTCCCTCTTCCTTCTTCATTCTCGATTTTATTGATTTACCAGGTGTATCGGTAAATAATGTGGATTTTGTAATCAAAGAAAACATGATAATTTCAAGAAAAACATCAAAAGTGCTTTATTCAAAGTAATGTCCATCACTAGCTACACATTTCCTCCATCTTTCAGGTAATTTGTGGATACTGTCCCAATAGAACTTTGCTTGTTTTGAGGCAAACCATTCAGAGACCAAATTTTCCACTTCTTTGTATGTTTTGAAATACTGCTCAGAAAGTGCAGGTGTCATTGATCAGAACAAGTGGTAATCTGAAGGAGCAAGGTCTGGTGAATATGGTGGGTGGGTTAATACTTCCCAGGCAACATCTTTTAACGTGTCTTTAACTGGTTTTGAAGTGAGTGATGGTGCATTATCATGAAGCAAAATTACTTTGCCGTGTCTTCTGGAACATTCTGGTAGTTTCATTATCAAAACATGGTTCAAATTGATTATTTGTTGTCGCTAGCGATCAGTATTAATGGTTTCACCTGATTTTAGAAGCTCATAATACAGCACACCTTCCTGATCCCACCAAATGTAGTGCATTGTCTTCTTTCTGAAGTGATTTGGCCTTGGTCAATGTTGATGGTTGACGTGGATCAACCCATGATTTTGTGCATTTGGGATTCTCAAAATAAAACCACTTTTATCACCAGACTTTTGTGCTGTTGAAGCAACATTTTACTGATGATTTTTCGGTTTTCCATTTGTCTTTCGTTCAGTTGATGTGGCACCCATTTTCCTTTCTTTGAAATATTTCCCATTGCTTGCAAATGATCATATATTATTTGCTGAGCAATGTTTAATCTTTCTGCAAGTTGTTTTTGAGTTTGACAAGCATCTCCATCCAATAATGTTTGCAAATGTTGTTCTTCAAACTTTTTCAGTTGACCTGGATGTTCTGTCTTTCACATTGAAATCATCATTTTTAAAGCATTTAAACCAGTGTTCACAAGTATTTGAGATGGAGCATAAGCTTCCCAAAGTATTCAGCAGCACTGTTCTTCAAAATAAAGTAGCGAATTATAACTTCCCACAAATGCTCTTTTTTTGGCATGAAACTTGACAATTTTAAGTATAAAAATATCATGATGTTAACACCTTCAGCAAATTTGACATATGAAGTTTTGAAGCTTGTTGTCAATATAACAAAATAGCATACATATCAAGTCACATATATATCAACATATATAACTCCATCCATTGAAAAAATCTATATAATTAACTGGTACACCTAGTAAGTCTTTTATTTTTTTATGTCTAGCTAAATACTTGTCATTTCTGTTGATCTTTTCAAAGAATCAACTTTTGAGTTTCTTGATTTTGTTTAGTTTTCCTATTCTCTATTTCATTAATTTTTACTCTTCATTATTTTGTTTCTTCTGTTAGCTTAGGGTTTAGTTTCTGCTTCTTTTTTTAGTTTCTTAAGGGGCAAGGATAGATATGGATTGTGGTGGTGAGCATTCAGAAACTATAATCCATAATCTATTCTTACCACTCATCCACCTCTTTTTTCTTCTTTAAACCACTGGTTACTTAAGAGTTTGTTTTTTAATTACCACATATTTATAAGTTCTCCAAATATATTTCTGTTACTGGTTTCATTCTGTTTTTGTCAGTAAATGTACTTTATAAGATTTCTATCTTTTTTAAGTTCAAAGAGGCTTGTCTTATGACTTAAAATATAGCTTACCCTGGGTAATATTCCATATGAACTTGAGGCAAATGTGTATCTTATCTCTATATTTCACTACTCCATGATTCACTTCAAATGCAAATTTACCTTTTTTAACACATAAGACTAATCCCACCTATGAATTGTCCATTTGTTACTATGTCTTTCTAGCAACTACTTTATCTTCTGGTAATAACAGACCTACTTTTCTCTTCATAATTTTTTTTTTAATTTACTCTGTCTTCAGTGATAAGACAGGGTTCTTATTTTACCAAATAGGCGTGCTAGCCCTAGAATCAGAGTCACTACTGGCTTAGAAATAGTCCTGTAACTCCAACCCAGCCAATGATAACCAACTCTTATGCTTCTGTTAAAACTGTTAGTTAGGAAGTACTAATAGGACCTATGTTGGTAGGATAAAGGTTGTGTAGAATGCCATCAATAGAATACCCAGTCAGAGATGAACAAAGCATACTGGGAAAAATTAGGGCAGGAAGTTGACTCCCAAAGACATTGACTGAGAACTTGAATCTAGCAGGCTAACATATGGAGCTAGGCCCAAATGGACTTTACTTACTGGAGTTAATGGATTCTCTTTATTTTTGCTTAAGCCTACTTGGGTTGTTTCTGAATATCCACCTCCACAAAGCTTTCTTTAATCTCTTGCTCATATTTTAGAAATAATGTTGAAGGGATTCCTATGTAGATGACAATTTGAACGAGGTAATATTATTGTCCTTTCCTCCTCTAAAGTCTGTGATTATTGACGATAACTTACAGTAGTTTTTGAAATAGCTTTCACAGTCTATGATACAGTGTTCACACCTTCCACCACTATGTCAATTTCTCATGTTTCAGTTTCCCAAATGGTAAAATGAAGACAATCACAGTATCGACCTTAAGAGTAAATTTGCGGGAACCTAGAGAGAGGGATTTCATATAAACCACATAGCATGGTGCCTAATAATACAAGTGGTCAGCATATATTAACTTTATCATTGGCTCAGTGAAGACCAGTCTGACTATAATAAAAAAACACAGTGGTTACTTCAGATCCTAAAAACATGTACACTGTACTTTAGAATCTATTATTTAATATCTATATACAAACTGTTTATATGTTCATATATCAAGTTGGAAAATGCACGAGAGCTTATAAACCTCATATATTTTTGTATAAATGTATTCCTTTTGTTTGTCCCTAAAGACCACTTTACTTTCATTTCTATCATTTTATCATGTAGCCAGAGTAAAAATATATGCAAAAGTCATCATTTATAAATTCCTAATTTTACAGAAGAAATTTAAACAGAATAACCACTATATGATGTTTCCTATCACAAAGAATCCACCTTAACGTATTTATAAGTGATAAAATTATCTGACTTGGCATATTTTATAATTTGTTTGGCAAAAGTATATATGTCTTAAAAATCTATTCTAAATACTTGAAAACTACATCAGGATTTTTAAAAAATCATAGATCGATGTCCTCCATAATTCATAATCATATTTCTAACAAATGGGAAATTTAAATTTAATTCTAAATCAAATTGTACATAACATCTTTGAATTTTTTTTTTTTTTGCACTCCTTCCTTTGATGATATATTTTTGTTATTTAAAAAGGGAAGCTAAACTTTTTCTTTCCAGGTATACACAGCCAATAAATTCATGTTTAATTTGAAAGTTGACATACATGAGTGTGAGAATAAAATTCATTATAACAATCATTAAGTCCATTGAAAGAGGAACTCAGTGAGCCTTACCAGGTTGCCAACTGACAGCACATTGCTGAACTGCTCCGTCATGGGGTAGTGCTCCATGGCCATGAAGAGTGTATTTAAGACAATGCAGATAGTGATGGCCAGGTCCACAAATGGGTCCATCACGACCAGGTTGACGAGATGTTTCACTTTTAACCAGGGTTTACAGCAGTCCCAAATCAAACACAGGTTAGCAAATTTATACCAGCAGGGTGGGCATTTCTGCCTGGATTCTTCAAGTTCTGGAAGAAAAAAGTTAGACTACTCATGAAAACTGTTGACTTTCTAGTAAGCAGTCTTTGGTTTAAGTTGAAAGTGATATTGAAAAAAAAAAAAAACACAAAACCCTAAAGTTATTAAATGGGTGAATCTGATGATGGAGCAGGAAAACACTTATAATGGATGAGGTGTCATGGAAGACATGGGCACAGAAAAACTAGTAAACTGTCCAAATTCTTCTTTTCCAAGATTCTATCTGCAGTGTTAAACTGTCTGATAATTATCTTCAAAGCTATGAGAAATTAATAGGTGGGACTTCTATTAAGGATGCTAAAAGCTCATCCATGTTCCAGATATACAAAGAATTACTCTCAAGCGACTCCCTCAAACCTTTATCAGAAATGCTGAATCTCAGTTTCTTGGATTACATATGTTTTGTGGTTCTTTCAATAAGATAGTTTTGTTAGTGTCACCAGTCTTAGTAAAAAATTTTCTAATTAAGCTTATTAGAGATAGACTGAATATTGAGCTCTACAAGATTTGTTCTCTTAATTTAATAAGAGGGTATGAAAAAAGAGGAAATATTACTTCTAAGAAACTGGATCTTCACTATATAATAAATCCATGTTTCACAAGATGGGATTTATATACTACTGCAAAAATGCAAGAGGATTTTGAGTGGAAAACATGTAGAATTTATAAATTTTATGGTATAGTTTTTATGTTAAAATGTATTTATTTTAAGTACATTATTTTCAAAAAGGACTTTAACTAAATAATAGATGAAAGAGTTCAGAAATGCACAGAGCTTTAAGATGATATTAAAAATACTGAAACTTGGTAAATACTGGGAGAGAATTTTAGAAAATTAGAGGTGGGAAATTATTTACTCTCTTCCTTTGGTAAGATGATCTCTTAATCAACTCTTGAGTGGAAAAAGCATGCAGAACTTGTTTTCTGACAAAATCATTCTTGCATATCCTACTGCTTGTTCTATTGAATGAGACTATCACTTCTTAGTAGAGAGAAAGATTCTTTTTTTCATTTATGCATAATTGACTCTGGTAAGACATTTTGGTATTACTACTGTGACAACTGGAATATATCTCTAATAATGGTATAGTTTATTAGGAAATAAACTTTGCAAGGGAAGAAACAGCATATAAAATAAACAAACATGATCATAGGTAATGATTTTTTTGTCCTGCTGATAAACATTCACTATTGACAATTATGTAATACCAGAATCAATTTTTTAAATAATTCTTTTTAAAAAATTCACTACTAACAAATGCTATAAAGTTTACTACTTCCTTAAAATAAATTAATTTCCTGGTTATTTTTTTTTTAACAGAATTCCATACTCAGTGGATTCTTCAACTGTCTTTTTAGGTATTGAAATTCTTCCACTGCACAGTTTATTTGTATTTTTTTTAACATGCAATTTTGTAAATAATAAAGGATAGTTGAGTTGTAAATCAGAGGAAAAATATTAACATAATTATGATGCACTAGTTATTTTATAGTTATTTTTAACATTCCCAAATAACCTTATGGTTATGCTGGAGATTAAAATATATTATCATTTATAGTAAATCACAAAAGAGAAACAAAGAAATCTCTTTGTGTACAGCCAGAGCAAGTCAGAGCAAATTTATTTTAAATGCTACCTGTCATTTATTAAATAAACAGAAGCAAACAGTAATCGTGCAGGAAAAAAAATAAATAGATCAGAGAAAAGTTCAAAAGTGGAAATTCAGCTGGTATTATACATCGCGACTCCAGGAAAATGTGTGGCAAAGCTGTTAAATTCCAAAGTAAAATTATTCAATTATTCATGCCAAACGAGGGAGAATTTTCTACTCTGAAACAACAAAGCACTCAGGAGAGAACTACAGCCATCTCTCCATTATTCCTGTGTGGGTTATCCACACTGAGAATCATCGACAGCCCAGCTCAATTCCTCAGGTGCCCCTCACCCACCCTCCCACTGTCCTTCCCAAGGCTGTGACCAGGAAACATTTCTGGGTGGCTTGGGATTTTGGAAAAGTTGGAAGGCAGTTCATTTCTGCTCATCTCCTATCGTTTCATTTATAGGCTATTCATTGCCGTGGACAATGGAGACTTAGCTGTAATTCAAAAGAAGGAAAACAAAAGTTGCCAGCCCAATCAACAATCAAAAGGGAAATAAACTAAATCATAATTAGATTCAGAAGAAAAGAACCCGAAATAAACAGATTATGTCCACCTAAGAAACCTTTCCACCGTTATCTGAAACAACAACGATAAAGGCAGTTCTGGTATGCATATGCATGCTACGTATTGCTAATAACAAGCTTAGATCAATGCCACATTCAAGGTTTTTTAAAAATCATTATGTAAAATGTAAGCTTTTTATTCTATACAGCCAAGGAAAAACAAATAAAAGGTAGCCATTGTCTTAAAAAACAAACAAAACATAAGGTTAAAAGCTCTGCAGATATTAAAACCAAACGCTCAGTGTCCTGCTTCCTGGGCTACACTAATTCCCAGGACATCTTCTCCCCCTAAGTGACTCTCTGAGACACATTCCCATGGCGGGTGATCTGAGTGCACTGATGTTGAACTCCGTATCTTAGTTAGTGGACTGGTTTGGTCTTGTGATGGGTTGATGTTTTCGAAGTCATTTCGTACGTAAGCTCAAACTTAACGCTACCAGAAGTGCAAAGTAGGACTGTTGGTTTAGACTTACCCTGTCTCCTTCTCTGCTTCTTGCTTTAGGGAGCAGACATGCTGCTGACATCGGTAGCAGAACCACTGGCAGCTTCCTCTCAGTGGTTTTGCTATGGCAAGGAGCAGAAGACCAGAGAATCTTCAAAAGATTTACCTGGAGGGACAGGGAGGAGCAAGCTACTGGCAGCTGGGGGGGAAGAGGGAGTGCAAGCTAACGCAGGCGAGGTTGGGGAAGAATGGACCGAGTTTAATATTCCAGATAAATCGGTGAAGAGATTTCTGATACTGCACTAGGACATAACGAAAATTGGGTGTGGAAAAGCTGACATGTCTGTGATATATATTGCCATCTGCACTGTGAGTTTCTTCTGGCTGTGATGTTTAGGTTTTTGGTACTGCTGTTAGTATCATGGGGTTTTTCCATTCAGACTGAAAAGTAATTATTCCAAGAGCCTATCCAATAATAAGTGAAACTATAACTAAAGATAAAGTCATCTGCACAATGTGTGCTCTCTCCCTCTCTCTTTCACTCCTCTTTCATACTCCATTTGTTTTTTCCTTTGACACATCTACACACACACACATGCAAGCACTCACACACACACACGCACATCTGGGGAGGGTGGAAGGGCTGGATTATACAAGAGAAAAGGAGAAAAGGGGAAAGGAGGATAAGGGAGGAGGATAGAATATATTTTATATGAAAATATTTTCCAAATACTTAAAGTAGATATTCCAGTTTACTTACAGTATAGAAAGGCACAAACTTGTAAATGAACAAAACAACAAAAATAAAACAATGAATAATGATAATATTTATTGACTGCTTTCTACATGACAGGTACATATGTGC